GAAAAGCCACAAGACTGAAACGAATCTCCACTACATGAGCATGTACATGTACCCTGCTGAACCCAGCCTTCGTGATGTGAACTAGCCAAGAACGACAGCCAAGAACGGTAGTTAAATCGACTGTGTAGCACGATGGTGCTTGGACGGGTCACTGGTTTCTATCGATCGCTTCCGCATTTTCGACTTCAGATTCAGTGGTGCCAGTTCATTGTGCACTGACAAATTCTTGGCTAAAAGAAAAGCCACCTCCATGCTCTGAGAGTAGTTTAAACGTGGGTCGCAATAGCTCGTATAGCGTAGCGGCAAGTCACCCTCATCAATGCCCTGCGGACCACCAATGCACTCAGTTACGTTCTCACCCGTCAGCTCAAAGTGGACTCCACCCAATGTAGTGCCAGCCATGCGGTGGATATCCAGCGTCTTCTCCAACTCACCAAAAATGCGATCAAATGGACGAGTCTTATAGCCATTCTCAGCCACAATCGTATTGCCGTGGCACGGATCACACGACCAAATTACCTTGAGCCCTGCAGCCTTCACCACTGCAATATGCTTGGGCAGCAGGTCTGACACCTTGTCACTACCGTAACGCGTGATGAGAGTAATCTTACCCGCACTGGCCTCGGGGTCCTTCCACAACTTGCGGATCAAGGGCACCAGATCATCCACAGCCATACTCGGACCAACCTTAATACCAATAGGATTTTCAATGCCACGGAAATACTCAACGTGAGCATGGTCCAGTTGACGTGTACGATCACCAATCCACAAGAAGTCTGTACCCACGTTGTAATACTTGCCATCCACCTTGCGCGTCATGGTTTCTTCGTAACCAAGCTCCAAGCCTTCGTGCGATACAAACAGATCCACGGTTTGTAAATGTGGTGATTCCGCTCCAACACCACACATATGCACAAAGTGTAAACTATTCGTAATTTCTTCCACCATGTGCTGGTACTCTTCACGTCGAGACGACGTTTGCACAAAATCCAGATCCCATTTACCAGCATCATGGATATCCGCAAAGCCCGATCCTACCAACACTCGACCATAATTGAGCGTTGCAGCGCTATGGAAATATCCTTCCAAAAGTCTTTTGGGGTCTGGAGTGCGCTGGTCTTTCTCATACCCATTGATATTCTCGCCCCTAAAGCTAGTCACTTTTTCTCCATCCAGTACCTCTGTGTCACTGGACCGGGGCTTGGCAAATTGTCCAGCCATCCGAGCTACACGAACTGTTGGCATACGCGCACCCCACACTAGCACAAGACTCATTTGAATCATAATTTTAAGTTTCTTTTCAATCAACTCTGGTTGACAATCCTGGAACCGCTCGGCACAGTCCCCACCTTGCAATAAGAACCGCTTGCCTACTGCAACATCTGCCAGTAGTTTTTTTAAGTTTTCAATCTCATGCACTGATACGAGTCCCGGTAATGTCTTTACTATCTTATACACACAAGAATAAAAGAACAATAATTGTACAATGATAGACAAAGAGATAGATAGATATTCAAACGTTAGGAGACAATTAATCTTACTATGATTCCCATTGAGTAAACAAACAGATTCTAACTCAATCGTACACTTGTTATATGCAAGATTCAATGCTTTTTTATCCGGATAGGAAGCTTGTTGTTGTATAGGAAATTGACGCCATGAAGAAGGTGTCCAGTCGGAACTTTGTCGTGTTGTCATGACTGGTAATCAAGTCGATAGTAAAATAACTCGTATCTGGACTGATTGAATGACGTCCATTGATTTATTCATTGACTGACGTTTGTTACTTGGACTGGTGTGTACCACTTTTTGATGGACATGGAATGGATTTTAATGCACGCGAAAGTTCTTGTCCATCGTGACGGTATGGTATACAACGATCAAGTATAAAACAACAAGCAGTGTCACCACCATTGAAAGCGAGCTAGAAACCATAGCATGGGCAAGTCTTGTTTCCAGCAACCTTTACGGCTGAAAAAGGACGCGGTAGTTGTTATAAACTCATCGATATTATACGCTACAGCTAATGAAGCAGGTCATCGATATAGTATACAACCGACTGAGAATAAAATAATGAAGCAGGAGAATCAGAAAAAGCGTAAGAGGAATACAAGCCAGGAAGGACGTGGAAAAGCAAAGTGGGTACAGAAGAAGCAGCAGAAGCAGCATGAGAATGTCAAAATTGTCAATAGTAGAGTTGGATCCAATACAGCCAAGTTGATGTGGAAAGAAGGTGCTGCTGGTGGTAATGTATCGTGTTCCATGCTTCACGTCAAGAAAGATGCTGACATGTTGACTGGACTCTATTGGATCTTGCTTACTCGCACTAGATTACACCCGTGTATCGTTACTCTACCTTCTCGTTACGAGACATCTCCAGCTCAATTGTCAGTAATGCTCAAACATCTTGGATTACAAGCAGTGGCACTGCATCATAAGATGACAACCATTCAGCGAACTGAAACGGTGCAGAGATTGAAGGATTTTGTATCAACGTCGCATATGATGGTGCTTGTGACTACAGATCATTTGCTGCCAAGTGCTGTGTATATTAATGCTGATGTGGTACTGGTTGGGGATGTGAATACTGCGGCGACGGAAGTAGCGATGGCGAAATTTGCTCATGTGTATCAGGTGACAACTGCCGCTATTAGGATTGAAGAAAAGCTGCAGAAGTCGAGTAGGTATCACCCTGATTTGACGACATCATGCTTACAGCAACTGCAAGCGAGGATGAAGCTAGTGAGGCAGATCATGGACATTGCGCAACGTGTTGGCAAGACTAAAGCTGCTGCCCAGAATGACGAGAACAAGTGGGCTTGGAAACTGGCGAAAGAAGCCGATCTAGACGATGATGAAGATGACAAAGGCCAGAGGAAAAAGTGTAAACGTATATTGACCCCGGACGAGCAAAGACTGCAGGCATTAGTAGCAAAACTTTACGTGGTGCTCGCGCGCAAGCTACCGGGAATTGAAGCAAATACCATTAGCGCGTCATTTGTCAGAGACCAGGGGGCTGATAGTCAGCACCGTTGCGAGAAACTACAAGTGCTTGGTCTTGTCACGATGAATGCAGCCATGGGAACGGTCATGACGAATGAACGCACATCTGCTCAGACTCGATGGATGGATTTTGCAGAGGGTAGAGCTTACGGTGGTCAGTGGGACGGACCTGTGCGCCATGGTGCATCGAAGGACAATGCTTCACTTGCACTTCGTGAAAGATTTTGTGCTGCTAGAGGCAAGGCGAAAGACTTGAGCTATTTGAGCAAATGGGCGCCAAATCAAGGGCCTGTCGACGCTGAAAAATGGGGTGGCATGTTCGGCAAGGTATGCGGACACAACGAAGTAGTAATGAACGATCTGCGAGCCTTTTATCCGCAGGAGGTCTTAAACTCAAAGGTGTGCAGCAGAATCTTCCCAGCTCCAGGAAACAAAGGCTTTGACGGCTGTCTAGAGCACTTGCGGTTTGCCTGCATGACTCAAAACATGAGCATGACTCTATGGGACGCCGAGCTCTTCATTTTTATCTCGACGCGCGGGCGCGTCACATGGTCAAAGAAGAGTCAACTGCTTGCGCTCTCACTGGCGAGTCTGCAGTGTCTCGTTCCCGCTCTTCGCAGCTGGACAGCGGCATGTGGTGGTCACATGCCACCGAATGCAGTCCTTCGTGCAATCCAACTTTGTAGTCAACTTGGCTGCGGCGACAAACGTGGGAAGCTGCCCCCTAAGTCGATCAAGCGCATCATGAGCTTTGTGTTTGGTGGATCAGCTCGAATATGGCGTCAAATTGCGAAAGCCCCGACACCGCTCAAAGCTGACATTGTGTATGGTTCCCAGTAGATGAAACGTGAAGCAACAAATAAGAGATGGAGCGGCTTATTTACTTCTGCTTGTGTTGCGTGTCTTCCACACTCGTACGGGTGGGGTGGCTATCTATCTAGAGATTGTACTCTACGTTGCAACTTCTGGAGGTCGTTTCGTCGGCATATCTGTGTCAACATTCTTTCCTGTCCGCATCACTCGTATATCTTTTACATTTGTGTCAATATTCTTTTCTGTCTGCATCACTTGTACATCTGTTACATCTGCATCAAAGAGCGATGCCTGGTCACAGTCTTCAATCAATTCCCGCTCACGGCAATGGCCAAGCTTACTTCCATTGTAGTGTTTGTTAAGACACTTGTGGTTCTCCCGCACACCTGTCAAATGCTTCTGAAGCACCAATTTCTCCTGCACGGGATCGAATACAAGCCAATCATCAGGTCGCGAGATAATTCGATTAGCGTGTTGCATCTTCACTTGCACCAACTTGGCCAATGCTTCATTACACGATCGATCATCCATAGGAAGTGGTGGAATATCATGCAAGTATCGCTTGTGGTGTTCGTCCACGTCTCGAACCTCGTCTTCGGACAATAACTCGGGTACACCTGGCTCCATAATTGCAAAAGAAAGACTAAATAGCACCAGCAAAGGAAAAAGAGAAGAAGAGAAGAGAACTCGTCAGCAATATTTCTCATCAACTCCATAGCACAAAAGATAAACATCTCACTAGGTTGAAATCAGCTCCAAGAGTTGATGATAAAAATAAGTAGAACGACCTGAGAGTAGATCCATGAATAATGTCCAGCTTTGATAAAACAGTCCCCAATGTTTTGCAGCATAGAAAAGAATATAAACACTCAAGAGATATAACGTCGATACTTGAACGTGAACAAGTGGCAGTCGCGTCGAATGCATTGTCATTTCTTCATATAGCGTTTCCTGGAATGAAAAGTGTGGATACATTCGGCATAGAGTGACCGTGTTATAATAGGCTTCACCTAATAGGTTCATTAGCACACTACTGCCCGCTACAAAGTACACGCTAAGCCATAGAGGTGTATGCAAAAGTATATCAAAATAGTGGAAAAGAAGATTATTCATCATGGGAATTCTACTGGGAACAAGACAAAAATTGATGGACTTGTTCATGTACTGGGATATCAAATATGACAAGAGATTGATCAGTAAGTGCAGGTTTTCATCAAGAATATTATCGTGTATAAGTTTCATGAATATTACATTATTTGGCAATATTTAGAAGCATCTGCTCATTGGTTGATATAGACCATTATATCCGGACAATGGACCCACCCTGTGGAAGGCAGCAATTTGATATAATTTAACAACGTCAAACAGATAATGTAGCAAACTACCATATCAAAAGCGACTTATGCACTGAATGCAGAGGAAGACAAACTCAACGAGCCTTACATCTAAGTGTTCACAACCCTCTCAAGGCTAGTTTTGTAGCCGAGCTACTGTAGCCAGGTTATTTATGCACTATGTGCAGAGGAAGACAAGGGCAAAGAGCTTATTTGTCTTAGGGTTCTTAGCCCTCTCATGGGTAGATTCACAAGCTTGTGCCTTTGGTTGCAAGCAACTACGTCTCCAAGAGACCAGTATTAAAGATACAATTCCTTCAGAAGGAATAGAACTTTCTAGCATTTGTGCTATTCAAAGCAGGTTTAAAACTGATTTATTTATATTTATCTTCTAGCACTAAATATCGAAGCACCTACTCTATACTTATTGCTAGTCACTATTTCCTGGCTCTATAGCCTATTAATTTGTAAACATGTATAGTCACTATACTTAACTAAGTATAGTGACCACGCCGGCCCTTCGTACCTTAGATACGGTCACATCAACCTACCACTGTGCACAAGGTACAGCCACACCACAATGGTGTGGCAGGTGTGCATGTACAATACACACCTTTTTGTAACCCACGTTACACCCTCCCCCACCAATCCGTTGGACTTGACGTACCCACGACTTTCGAACTTATGCGGAGTTATTTCATTTTTTTACTTTGCTTGCCTCGCAATAAGTAAGTGCCTCGCACTTGCGCACAAAGCTTTGTGTTACGACACTCGCTCTATGAGCACCTGTGCTTTGCACTCACGCTACTTACGCACCCTAGTGTTACGACACTTGCTCCTTGAGCATACAGTGCATTGCAATCACGCTAAAGCATTATAGTGTTACGACACTTGCTTATAAGCGTTAAGTGCCAAGCACTTGGTATTAATACCCTTTTGAGTTTACGAACACTTGCTTTCACAGCATTAAGTGCCTGGCACTTCCCATTAAAAGCATTACAGTGTTCCCAACACTTGCTTTTCAAGCACTTGTTTGAAAAGCAAGTGTTGGGAACACTGTAATGCGCTTGTTCCATCATGGATGCCGCAATGCGTCGAGACATCTTTGGGGACGATGACAGTGCTGTTGCCTCCAGGGGTAGCGGCGCCGAGTCTCCGTTGGGTCATAGTACCCCAAGATCACCACGCTCACCGATCGAAGGACGCCGATCCCCTTCTGTATCTTTTTCCCAAGGGCATTGCGCCAAGCAACACCGCTTCCCTCGCGAGAGGGTGTCGACAAAAAGGTAACGAATCCTCTTGACGCTGCAGAGCGTCGTCAACTTGCTGAAGAATCCTAGGTGTCCGCCTTGGCCCAAACAAACCTTTTCACGTCGTGATTATGGTTTCGTGCCTCGGGACCCCAATGAGGAAGCTCGACGAGCTGCATCGCAATCTTTGCGTACCTATGTCACTGGGTCACAGACCCGTACTGCTTGCGAGGTTGCTGATCGTGCCGCTCTTCGTATGCGGCTCCTTACTCCCGAGGAGTTTACGATGAAATCGTATCAGGAGAGACTGTCATGACAGTCACGTGGGGTTCCCGTGTACCTACTGAGCAACATACCAGTGGTCCTTGCACCAGGTGAAACATCTGCGCAAGATGATCACCAGTTCACCTGTTGGGTAGAACGAGCGTGTAAGCTCTCAAGTCTTCCTAACTTGCGCTTAAGCGCTAAAGAACAAGACGTTTAGTTAGAACGTTGTCTACGTATTAATTGTGCTATTATCAAAGCGAAGTGTCAATGACCCTCCACATACAGTCAAAGACTTGTGGGGATCAAGCTTCTGAAGCTGTTGCCCGTACCTCTCACACGAGTGATGTACCGACATTGGCTTCTTCTGAAGGTCAGAGGCGAAGCCATCCCACAGACCTTGCTTCCACAGCACCTAGTGCTAGGAAGCGTCCGACGACATCTGTCGTCGCTTCTGACCGTCATGGTCAAAAGCGTCAACGGCTTCAGGGATATCCCGCCGGAGGGGTACCTCTTACTCCCACAGGTCGTACGACTGGGGATAACTCCTCCACTTCACCAAATATCGGGTATGACCCTGGTGACGACGCCGAGCCAAGAGGCGCTCCACGTAGAACTGATGATGACCCAGTTCATCAATCAGCGTCGGCAGAGGTCGGTGGCCGATTGACCTCTCATATCTCTGAGATCGATCGTCGCCTGACACTCCTGTAGCGTGATGCTTTTGGATCAGTGACGTCTCACCTATCATTTCTCGATGACCGTGTCGATCGACACCGTCGATCCTTTGAGCTTTATTGATATGAGACCTCAAATCGCTTAGCGGCGATTGAGCGTTTACAAGCAAAGCTTCGGTGTCAATTTGACCTCCTGGTACGTCTCTAGCGTCCATATGCACTTCCGGTGCCGTGCTACCCGCCTCCTTCGGCCGGGGGTATGGGGACAACTCCTCAAAATCCACCGAGGCTGGGTTGAGATATGGCTTTAGCAAGCCCACGTAGAACACAGGATGTACTCGCATCTTCTTGGGAAGGTTCAGCGTATAGGCTAAGCCTTTCTTGCTTATGATCTTGAAAGGTCAATAAAGCGTGGACGTAGTTTAGTTGTGTAAATACCGCAGACACTGCGCGAGTAGGTAAATTCCTAGCATTCAATAAAACCAAATCTCTCACAGTGAACTCGTGTTCGTTCTTTCTGCCTTTGGCATCTGCTTGTTCCTTCTTAGCATGACTTTCAGTCATAGCGTCTTTGACACGATGTAATACGTCAAAACGCGTTGAAAGAAACGCTTCCACCTTTTTGCGTAAGCTCTTTAAGCTTGTCTTCTTCTGCACGTAGTGCGTAAATAGTTGGCTAGAGTAGCTCGGCTACAGCGCCTCAGCTGTGAGACCTTCATCTGCGCAATCCAGCGCTTCAAGGTAGACGAGAATCGCCAGTACGAGGGTGTTGACGTCGTTGTTTCTTTTGTGGTCCGTCTATCCACCTTGAGCCATTACTGGAGGCGCCTCGGTCCTTTCGAGACCGTCGCAAAGCTTACTGGGGTCGGCACGCCTGGTGCGCTGTCGGAACGAGTCGTTGGGCTCATAACCTGTTTAGAAGATGCGTTGTGCTCAATAGCTGGCAGATTGAATACTGAATATACTTTGATTCTTAGCTAGCAAGAATGCTTGCTACCTCTAAGCCACTCTTCTCCTACACTAGTTGTACTCTCTAGAGTCACTGTCCGTAACTGCTAACAGTCATGGTATCCGCAGACATTAACCGTCTTCATGCCCGTAAACGTTGACCCTCTTTATGGCCGCCACAAGCATGCATTCCGCGGGTGTGATAGCGTAACTTGGCCATAAAATATACACCTTCACCAGATCGTACTGTGAATCGTGCGACTCAGTTCACCGACTGAGCAAAGAGAGATGTTTGCATCGCTTTTTCGTGTTGTTTGTCGTCGACAATGACAAACAACATGGAAGCGCAAGAAGCTAGATCCAGCCGACAGACACACGAAATAAGTGTAGAGCTGACACGGTGGCAACCATACGTTGGTATGTAGCGCACTCTGGTGGTAGTCTCTTGGCTGCGCAAATGATAGTGCTCTCGCAGCCGTAACACTACATACAGCTCGTGTTGATCCTACGTACAGCCGTGTGGCGATGATAGTGGATGCTGCACTGGTTCGTGCTACGCCGGAAGCACGATCGGGATGCGCCGCGCGTCGATAAACTTTCTTGCAAGCACTTGCACATTGACTCCAGCTTCCGCAGCGTAAGGGTAGTAACGTCAGCTCCAGTTCATACATGCAGCGAATGTTCAAACTTGGCCGACACGTAGCATTTTGATTTGCTGCAGCTCATTCTGTACTTGCATTGCGGCTACATTGTGCTTGATTTCCTAGTCATTTCTCCGCTTCGACATGATAAACGTAGGATGTATCCTATAGTGTTTTGTCGACAGTGAAAGTGGACGAGACGAACTTATCTGTCAAATCTTCATATTAAGATGAAGATGTTGTTGACGAGAATAAACAAAGACTATAAGTGGGGAGCGCTATCAACATACACTCGACCACGCACCACGGACCTGGCGAGGCAAGAAAACGGCATATTAACCAAATATTACAGCAGCGAGCGTAAAGGTGTTTCCCGCTGTAACTTTGCCTTCAAGAATAGCTTCAGACGGAAGAACAACTCTAAACATAATGCAGAGAAATTAACGGACTCGAACTAGAACCTGTCATTTGTTTCGCCGCCACCACAACTTGCCTGTTTCCCACAGTGCAAGCTGCATTACAGCAGCACACAAACATTTAAAGCTTATCTTGGCCTATGCATATGAGCCTTCAATAATGACATCATCAATCTTGAGGATCATCCGCACGACCTGCGTAGCAAGCTGCAGCTGCTGCTGCTTACCAATGAGCGTTTCAAATACCTGCTGCTCCTTCATATCGTTCGTACCGGACGAGTTGCAGTCAATGCCAAGCCGCGGATTGTTCTCAGCAATTTGCTGCGCGCGCACGGCTGAAAGCGAATCAATCGGACTCAAACCACTGTTTTCAGCCAGAGCCATTGGAACGTCCTCGAGAGCGTCGGCAAAAGCACGGATAGCGTACTGTTCAATGCCAGTCGTGTTATCGGCATAGTCTCGTACGGCAATTCCGCATGCAATCTCGGCAGCGCCGCCACCGTACACAATGCGGTTGTTTTTAATCAAGTTGCGCGTTACACACATGGCATCGTGCAACGAGCGCTTCGCTTCCTCCACAATCATTTTATTACCACCGCGGACCAGCACCGTGATAGCGTCCGAGCTTGCACAGTCCTCAATCACTAACATGCGTTCCTTTGTGGTACCAAAAGCAACCTCACGCACAGTACCAGCACGACCAAGTTTCTCGGCCGTCAGCTCCGAAAACCGCGGCACAATACGTCCACCCGTAGCAATAGCAATAAGTTCCAGCTCAACACCACCAACCCAACGCACAGCAGGCAGTTGGTTTTGCAGCAGCAAATGGTTGGCCTCATCATCAAAACCCCACTGACAAATCACCAAGTTGGCGCCACTGTCCTTAACCTGTTTAATCATAGTGGCAAAGTACTCCTGTTCCTGCTTATAAAGCGTCTCGTAAGCCTCAACACTTGTAATGTCCAGTTTGTGCTTCGTCTTGGGCTTTGGTGGTTCAAAAGGACACGTCAGAATACACATCTTGGCATTTTTGACTTCCTTGGGCATTTGTGGATGCGAAAAGTCCTTATCAATGACAATACCATTAATAAGTGCTGTATCGCTTAGAGTTCCACCAGGCTTGCCCTCCATCTTGATCAAATCAAAGTTAACGTCCCTAGTCTCAAAATTGGCCACTTTCATGACTGCATTCACTGCAATTTGTGCCATCTGACGCTTATACTTGTTAACAATCTTGGAGGAAAGTGTGGTCATAGCTGTTTCCACCAAAGGTGTCGAGTCCTGCTCTGTAAAATGAATAACATCACCAATCGTCTCTAAATGCTTGCAAGCAATCTCACAAGCCTCTTCAAACCCATCAGCAATGCGCATAGGATGTAAACCATGAGCCAATAATTTCTCTGCTTGTTCCAGTAATGCGCCAGCTAGTACAACAACACCAGTTGTACCATCTCCAATCTCATCATCCTGTGACTTACTTAGTTCCACAAGTAAATGTGCTACTCGATGTTCAACTTGCATTCGTTCCAGAATAGTGGCTCCATCATTCGAAATAGTGACATCACCATCTTGACTGACCATCATTTTGTCCATGCCACGAGGACCGAGTGACGTACGTAATAAACTGGAGACAGTACGTGCTGCAAGAATATTGCTCTTGATAGCTTCTACACCCTTAATGCGCTCCTTTTGATCCTGGTCACGCAGGATTATATAAGGACGACCGTATTCATCAAAGATCATCGACATTTTGGATACAATAAAGGAGCCAGAATGGCAATTGAAAATTATGTGGTCTCCACGACTTTTGTAGCTGGATATTGTGTGGTCCACCTCATGCTTTCCACGCCATCAAGTTTTTACGACGGTAGTATAGGAAGACGTAATTACAACATGATCCGAGTTATATCAATGTGTGTAGCTTACACCATATTTATGTCATGTTCAGAGTCAAGCTACAATGTAACCCTACACCATCTGTTAATAACAATGATATTATGTGGTGTAACATCGATACTGGACGAGTTTTTAAGCTTCTTGCAACAGAGGAAGCGGTTGACGACGTGACTGCGGACCCAACTGTGCAGTTGACGATTTGCAGCGGAGTGATGGCTATGCTTTTTATAATATTCGTCAAGCCAATTCAATCAACAGTCCAAGTGAATGTCAAGCTAGATCATATCACTCACTATCCGATCATTTCCGACTGAGTGAGTAATTGTCAGCTATAATGATGTGCTGGTGTCGTCTACGTTTTCGATGCACAAAACCAGCAGCCGCGAAATTAAGCACTGGAAACGAGCTAGAGCTCGGAGCTATCTGTCTGGACATGCAATTTAGCACTCGCAAAGCTTTCAAAGCATTAAACGAAGTCAGCGAGTTGGGTAAATTAAGCCAACCTTTTGATGGAAACAGTGCGCCGACACGTGCGTGAAGAAGAGCAATGGGTGCTGCGTGTCAACAGTTTGCAATGACTGTTTGCCACTCGACTTGCTCATAAACGAATTCTTGAAACCAGTGTAAGTCTTGTGGCATGAGTAACTAGCCACGAACCCATGATCTGTGTCCTCTTGTTTGTAGTCTCTATCTTTAGAAAACCTGCTTTCAACCAATAGCTTAAGGCAAATACAACGTCAGGTGCATGTGAATTTGTAAATGTCATGCTTCATTGATATCTACTGATGCTCACTCACTCAGACTGCGTAAAAAAACAAACAGACATTCCAAACGCACAAACTTGACAGATTGTTGTTAGCTTTGCCCGTCCAGAACTACCTGTGTAAATGTGCTGTCCTCACGAGCAGCGAGTTGGGCAAAGCGAATTCATGACAGCGACAAAACATTGACACCTCAAAAGAATCGAACCTGTTGTTGTAATCGAAATCTGGCTGTTAGTGTTTCATGTTGTTCAGGATTGCAAGCTTCTCTATAAAGCGCTGCGTCTGTTCTGGTGTGATCTCTTTCCGCAGACCTGTCATAAGCCACTTAGTAGATCCTTGCAAATTCATTTCAGCATCATAAAAAATTTTCGCGAGTTCATCTATGTTGTATAGTCTTAACAATACCCGAACAAAAGACGTCTTCATCTTAGGATAATTCCCGTTGTGCTGAAGTAAGATTCCCAATGCTTCGTCTTTAAAACTTTGACGGTCCTGAAGTAGTTCTGCTGCAGGTACTTTTTTCAGCAATTGCTTATAAGCTTCGTAAACATTTTCTAGCGACTGCTTTGCTATAGCCTTCTTGTCCACTTCACCAGTATTTATTCGGGTATGACCAGAGCTTGTTGATCCTACCAAAGATCTTACCCATTTAAAAAAAATTTCGACGTAGTTTCAAACATTCTTTCTTCGGATGAGGTGTCGGATGTCGGAGGTCTTTCGAATGGAAAGTCGTCTGCTTAAAACGTATACTGTCCGGTAATATGTCACTCATCACTTTGTCTCGTCATTAGGCCGAGGTAGGTTTTTTATCCTCCCTTCATATTTTACGTAAGATAAAAATATAATCCGTATAATGCTGCTGTATCATCAACCTCAGTAATCTCGTGTCTTCTCTCTCTTTGTCCTTCTTCTTCTTTTTTTTCTAATTCTACTCATCTCTATCTTCTTCTTTCTCTTAGCTATTGTAGGGCATCACTAGCTCACACTCGCTCTTGTATTAATCAACGTATCAAGTCGCTTCGTTTCACACAAACGAAAAGCTCTCATCTTGTTTTATTTTCGACTCAATTCAAGAGAAAAAAGAAAAAAACAAGCAGGAAAATGCTCTTGCCCGAGTTCAGGTATTAAGCAGCACTACACGTGGACTTCATGTATCGTTTGTGGATTTAATTGTTTCTGCTTAATGTAGAATGACCATGTTCATGCATGATATATGTGTTACAGGCTCCTGTGGCTAAAGTAAGTGAAGTGAAAAGGTTATTGTCGCTCTATCGACCAGAGAAAAAACCATTGGCCATCTCAATTTCGACTCTGGGTATCTCCACCTTCATTACGATGTGTGTGCCCTACGGAATGGGGAAGGTCATTGACGTGGTGACGGCAGGTTCAGCTGCTGCAATGCCATTGCCAACTGTAGTAACGCTACTTGGTGGACTCTTTGCTGCTGGATCGATTGCTAATATTGTTCGAGTGGATACGACCAATATGATTGGAGAAAGGATTATCAACAGATTAAGGCAGGACACGTATGCGTCAATATTGCGGCAGGAATTGGCCTTCTTTGACTCGTCCAGAACAGGGGAGCTGCTGAACAGACTGAGTGCAGATACAACGATGATTGGCAAAGTACTGAGCGACAACGTAGCTAGTGGACTGCGTAGCTCTGGACAGGCACTGGGTAGTATCACGATGATCTTTATCACGTGTCCGCAGCTAGCTATGGTCATGTTGTCGGTAGTCCCGCCTATTGCACTTGGTGCGGTGAGCTATGGTCGATATGTAAAAAACCTGACGACGGAAGTACAGACCCAGCTGAGTGAAGCTACCGAAGTAGCTGAAGAGAAATTAAGCAATATTCGTGTAGTGCGCTGGTTTGCCAAGGAAACTCATGAGATGAAAGCCCACCGGAATAAAGTAGACCAGGTGCTAGAGCTGGCGCGTAAACGCTCTCTTGCAAGTGCCACCTTTTTTGGCGGTGTAGATTTTGGAGTTAAACTGAGTATGCTTGGTGTTCTTGGATATGGCGGACAAATGGTGGTGGATGGCCTGCTTACAAGTGGTGATCTGACTTCTTTCCTGTTGTACACGCTTTATGTTGGATTTTCTTTCGCGGGCATGTCCTCTTTCTACGCGGAATTAATGAAGGGCATTGGAGCGTCCTCGCGCGTGTTTGAGCTACTTCATCGTCAACCAAAGGTCCGGATTCCTCAACAAGGGTGGGCTCCGTTACCGACTCCGTTTCATGGCCACATTCAGTTCCAAGACGTTGGGTTTTCGTACCCTGCTCGTCCAGACGCGATAATTTTCTCTGGCCTGAACTTAGAGGTGCTACCTAATGAAACATTAGCGCTCGTGGGCCCGAGTGGATGCGGTAAGTCGTCGGTGACGTCATTACTTGCGCGCTTCTACGACTTGGATGGCCCTGGATGTGGCGGTAAAATCATGCTGGATGGTGTTGACATCTCAACTGTAAGCCCAACGGAGCTCCGCGGTTTGATGGGTGCTGTACCGCAGGAGCCACCTCTTTTTGCGTGCTCTATTCGTGACAATATTGCTTACGGCTGCTCTGAAGGGCAAGAAGCAACTTTGGAGGACATCATCCGTGCAGCCAAAATAGCAAACGCACATGACTTTATCGTGTCCTTTCCGAATGGATATGATACGATTGTTGGAGAGCGTGGGCAGGCACTCTCTGGTGGTCAGAAGCAGCGCGTGGCGATTGCGCGTGCGCTTGTGAAGCGCCCAAAGATCCTCATTCTGGATGAAGCGACCTCAGCTTTGGATCCAGAAAGTGAGAAACTTGTGCAAGACGCAGTAGATTGCGCCAAGCAAGGGCGCACAGTAATTCTGGTGGCACATAGATTATCCACCATTAAAAGTGCTGACCGTATTGCTGTCATATCAGACGGTCGTGTCGTAGAACAGGGCACCTTTGCCCAACTCGCTGCTCGTGAGGACAGCACATTTACACAGGTAGTTCTGGACGGGCAAAGCTAACAACAATCTGTCAAGTTTGTGCGTTTGGAATGTCTGTTTGGTTTTTTACGCAGTCTGAGTGAGTGAGCATCAGTAGATATCAATGAAGCATGACATTTACAAATTCACATGCACCTGACGTTGTATTTGCCTTAAGCTATTGGTTGAAAGCAGGTTTTCTAAAGATAGAGACTACAAACAAGAGGACACAGATCATGGGTTCGTGGCTAGTTACTCATGCCACAAGACTTACACTGGTTTCAAGAATTCGTTTATGAGCAAGTCGAGTGGCAAACAGTCATTGCAAACTGTTGACACGCAGCACCCATTGCTCTTCTTCACGCACGTGTCGGCGCACTGTTTCCATCAAAAGGTTGGCTTAATTTACCCAACTCGCTGACTTCGTTTAATGCTTTGAAAGCTTTGCGAGTGCTAAATTGCATGTCCAGACAGATAGCTCCGAGCTCTAGCTCGTTTCCAGTGCTTAATTTCGCGGCTGCTGGTTTTGTGCATCGAAAACGTAGACGACACCAGCACATCATTATAGCTGACAATTACTCACTCAGTCGGAAATGATCGGATAGTGAGTGATATGATCTAGCTTGACATTCACTTGGACTGTTGATTAAATTGGCTCAAATGTTGATCATGGTAACCCGTGCACTCCGATCGAGCATACCGCAATAAAGGCGGAAGAACTTGATCAGAATCCAATCTGGTATCAATTGAGAACTCTGCGTAAAGCAACCTGTCTGCTTCTTCAGCCAGTTCCAATATCCTCTTCAATGGCCTTCATGTTTCTTTTCATGTCAATTGTCATCGCGAAAGCATCAAGCCAGAAGAACTCTTTGCAATACCATTTTCAAACTTGTTTTCCACGGTCTACAATATTTTTTCGTGCATGTCATAGACCTTCCACTACACGTTGTACGTATAATATCCAGAAAGTCTTGCTCATGTCAAGCCAAAACTGCCTAAATCATCCAACTTCGTATTGAAGTTTGAAGTGTGGCAGCGTTCAAAACAAACCTCCAGCATATATGAATAATCATGCAGCGCTCCTCAATCAGGACGAAAGTCGAAGCACCAAACAAAACACTTCACAGCAATTGACAAGACCAGCTTTCAGCCTTTGTAACTCGTGACGTGAATACAAAAAAGTCTAACAACATCACTCTTTGTCAATTCGCATGCAACGGCTTCCCCGACAAAACACCCAAGCACAAGCTATCAGTGGCATATCATCAGTGTCCATGCTCGAAAGGAGGCGACAAAAAGGAACCAGCACTTAGGATACAGCATAGTGCTTTGAGGTGATGCGAGTGTTGATATTTGCCCACGTGTAATGGAGCGGAAGGCGAAGCTGGGTGATTCGATGTCCGTCCTGCGTATTCCTGCTTGACGATATGATGGCGTGAAACTGGCAAATATCGTGCAGCAGCATCCTAAAAAAGCCGTCTCGCATTGCCAACGTAAGCGTGCTTGCCGACACTACCCACTTCCGGAAATTAGACTGGTCTGTACACGGAATAAGATCATGTTCGAATGCGGTGATGCGCCCACGGCAAGCTTCCGTTTTATGCTGTGCAAATAGTATAACGATTTCTTCAAGGCAAAAGAGGAATCGGCGATGAAGGAAACGCTCGAGATTTCGAGTGATGCATCCAGCTGTAGCAGCAAAACTGTCAGCTAGCTGTTTCTTCTTGGCTTTCTTCTTTTGCCGCGTCTGTGATACAGGAGCTGGCTCACTTTCCTTCCGTCGCAATTTTTGCTTCTCGTTCCGTTGCCCAAAGAGATCCTCCAGCTTATTGGAGTAACACTGTCGCAACAAAACACATAACTTTTGTTTCTCGTCACATTTCAAAGCGGTGTCAGCTACTGGTCTCTCTCCGCGTTTGTGCAAATCATCACACGTCTTGCTGTTCATGAACATTCGCGCTTCGCTTACTGATCGCACCATGAGTGGTTCTCTCTCTGGGATCCTAGACAATCGCAATACAGAACCACTGAACTCTTTTTGACTTGGAAAGGCTGCATCGTACAGAGATGTACAAACAGTGTCCACCAGTTCACTGCTGTAGTAGGTTGCAGAGGTCGTAGTAGAACCAATGGCGCTATGATAGCCCACAAAAGCACGTAAAGTATTTGCAAGCCCATGTTCCTCTTGCAGCCGCCAAGCAGCTACTTCCCCTTCTCCATCAATATCTACATCGTGAGCAACTGGCGATGCAATTTCCAGATGAATTGCGCACGCTGCGAGGTTTGCCATGGAGAGCACGAGTTGCCTCTGACGCGTGAGCGTAGCTGGAGTAATGATGTTATAGCGTTTACTGTGCTGATGAAACCCCAACGACAGATGCGGCAACACCAGCGACAGACTAATTCGCTCCGAAAGTACCGCCATACCATAAGTCTTAAATATTTGGAAAATCTCGTTCGACGTTCGCAGAATATGCACTTGATTCAGTTGTATCATGGCATCTTTGATACAATCAACACTCAACGTCTTGTCCTGTATCTGTTCCTTTTTTCCAGTGAATATCGTGCTCACATCTGCAAAAAAATGGTGTGGTATAGTGGTTCCTGTCTGTTTGTTTTCTTTATACTCGTAAATGACATTGGCATCCACTCTCTCCTCTTGATCGCCATAGTCAAAAATGCCATCCATTACGACCAGCTCTCCCGTCATGGCGTCCAACTGCTCCATCGGTAGACAAGTAAATGGATTGAATGAGACACTCAGCGGTCCTTTGACTGTCATTCTTGTTTCATCTTGTTCCTTTCTTGCCTTGATTCGATCAGTAAAGTGCGTATGCAGCATCATTGCCAATACTGCGTCCAAATGAGCTCTATACTCCTCAGTCGGAATCTTCTGCTGATGCAACTTAAGCACCAATTCACCCACAATGGCCTCAACAACGTCGGCTTTCTCCTTCATCTTCAAACACTTCTTAACGTTCTCACAACGCTCGACTGTTCCATACCCCATAGCATCATAGACCTGCGCTAAGTTGCGGTTGCTCACCACCGCCAGTCTTAAGTTGCGGAATACACGCGCACTTAATGGAGAATGATGGAATTGCGACAATAAACAACGCCCTACTAATTCCCCCAATAGAGCGTCCCCTAGCCACTCAAAGACGTCTGTTAATGCCGGTGACCTTTGAAACGCTTGGAAATGTGCCACCGTCTCGGGTGATTCACCAGACTTCGACAGCTTCAAACCATTGGACTCTTGCATACAATACTTGCTTCGTTTCACGCTTAATTCATTGTCGCTCTCCGAGATCGAGCGGCGACAGTATGTATGGACTTTTCGTCGTTTTTTGGTCATGTTTGACACGTACGAAATGGTTTTTAGGACAGTTATAGCTTTTTTTCCGGATAAACTGCGCGCTTCGACCATTGATGAATTTAATTTGTAGTGTAAATCCGAGTCAGGGGGGCGCATTTTAACGTCGGATGATTTTAAAATTTCTATTGCAATATTTCGGTTACGTTGACAAAAAAAACTTCCATTGTCGCCAATCAGACGAAGATGACGTCCTGGGCAGCGTTGAACGTGTGTGAAGGCGATGTTCGAGACCGCAACTTGACGACGCAGAGTTCTACAGAGGAAGCACAGGATGCAGAGAATGCATTATTGTATGAGAAAGCACTACGTTGTCAGCAGCATCAGCAAAGCTCACAGGCCAAAGCTGTGTACTTGCAGTTACTTAAGAGCGACTTTCGATTGAATCACCGTCTGGAATATTTGTGCCATAAGAATGTAGCAACAATGGAATTTGAGGCACAATCATTTGATGACGCTCTGGAATACTTTGCATCAGCGTTGGCACTAGACGCGACGGATGTGGTGGTGTGGTATCAAATGGCACGGACAGCTATAGAAACAGGCAAATTGTGGTTGGCCCGTAGATTATTGGAAGAAGGTATGAAGGTAGATGCCACGTACTGGCCGCTCGTGGACTTGCTGGTTTTGGTGCTGCATCAAGTGGGGGATGAGGACGAGTATGAACGTGTAGCCAAGTATCTTCGACAGCAGGACCCGCAGTGCGCGACGGTACGCATTCTTGACAAAATGGAGACGCTGTCAACGACATTACGAGAGAAAAAAATGCTCGAGCAAGCAAGAAAACGACAGAGGCATTTTCAAGATATTATGGAGAGAGAGAAGAAACGGCGAAAGCAGTTGCTGAGAGAAAACGAGGTTGCAAGTAAGAGCAGATTGAAACGGAGACAATATGTTTTACGACAGGCATCATGGATGGGAGTGGGAAAACTACTGCTGGAAATTTTTGAAGACATTAACAGAGACAAAGAGGCAGATGTGATGCAGACACAGGTACAAATTCAAGCGGAGGACAACGAAGAAATGGATGACAAAGGTGACAGAGAAGAGGATAAAGTAGACCAAGATGGTGAACAGCAACCGCCCGTATTAAATACAGAGATGATGACAGAGCTACCGCAGCTTTCTACTGGCATTGAGACGACGCTATCAGCCAGTACCGCAGATAATAACACGCAGGAAAGCGGCATTGATGCACGACAAGTGACGGAGATTCAGCCCAGAAGACGAAAGTCACGTCGTCATGAGGAACGATTAAGAGAAGAACATGCTGCTGCAGTCAAGAAAGCACAGGAGAAAGACTTGACATACAGACTGAGAGCTTTTCTGCCAGTAAACGCTGGTAACGAAGACATGGAGGGGACGCTGGAATCAGCCTCTACCAACTGGCCACCACCGTTGGACGTTAAACTCGTTGACGGTGAGTTTAGCATCTCGAACGCAAGCAAGGAGATATTGTCGAAAACAGCATCGTTTGCATTTACGATGGATTCAGAAGTATCTACGAGCAATACGGAGCCATTATCTTCGCGTCTGTTGTTAAGTGATCAGGCAGTGCACGTGGTGGCACCTCAAGCAAAGTGCGTGACGGAAAGGCAGATTCTATCGTTTATCGATCGTGGAAATATACTAAACGATGGAATAATCGACTGGGTGCGGCTGTACCTTAACCAATGTGGTCAATGGTCGCACTTGAAACTGGGAAGCGAGGCTGACGAAATTTATAAGGTGTGCATGTGGCTGGAAAAAGCATTAATTGGAGATTTGTATGTCGCTCAAGCGGTGGCATCGACGCAATATAACGTCATTAATGTTGCAGAGCACTCGCTTATTCAAAACAGTCGTTTCGAGGGGAATGGATTATCGCTCAGTGCTCAACTATTCCTGCTGGAGCTACATTTCGATACGCTTCTACAGCATCGAACTCGCGGGAAAATGCGATGCAAGATACGAAGACATATAAATGTCCAGTTAGCTGAAGCTCGAAAGCTTTTGTTTGCGTTTGGTTGGCTAGAGGACTCGGAGGACGCTTTGTGCTGTCCAACAGGAGATGATTTTTTGCGCTTGTTTTGGCTCATGGCGCGCATGTATGAGCGATGTGGAAACCATGAGATGGCTCAAGATTACTTCACTAAATGCAGAGAGAAATTTTTTGATTTGAAAGAAGAAGACGGCGAAAACGACGATTGCAAGTTCCGAGTTGATCTAACTAATCAAAAAGCTGACAGTGAAATTACTTTAAAGATCTTGGATGAGAAAATATCAGGACTGCGCTTTTCTGACGTATGTTTTGAAGCTCGACGTTTATTTAAATCAGGAGACCACGATCATGTTCTTTCAGTTTTGTTGGGGCACTTTTTCCCTTGCAACCAGGCGCCACGGATGACCGACTTTCTAAAAGAGTTTGAGGTTAACGAAGATGAACTCTTAGTGCATGGTGAAAGCAACAAATTTTTTGAAATAGTGCTACAATCACTTGGACAAAGCTCAAAGTTTTCGGATGAAGACGCATTTTTGTTTTTGTTGACGACGCTATACTATGTGATCGACTATGCGGATGGCTTGACAGTAAAGAAGGAGCTTACTTCAAGTGCAAATTTGCCAGATGAAGCATGTGCTAGCGCCCTCACCGCAATAAACTTTCTGCTAGGCCGGCTTGTGCAGACCCCGTTTGAACATTTGGCAAACGTTGATCACAGGTTGTTGCTGCGTGCTTTGTGTGTGAAATGCTTGCAGCCATCAATGTTGTTTCGTTTTGACTCTCCAGACAATGTTCTGTCGACGATATGTGTTTTGCTAAGAGTTGATGAAGACAACATCTTCGGATCATGTGATCATGGTGACAGTACGCAGCGAATGATAGAAGTAGATGCCATGGCTCGATTATTGCACGTTATTTTGTCACTGTCGGGTGAGAAGTTCCAAAACTTGTTCACGTTGGTACCCCTTCCAGCTAAGAAAAAGCAATTGCGTCGTGATTGTATCCGAGTTATTATTGTAGAGCTCCTGCGCTTGTTGAATCGAGCCTTCCGCGATGACGATAAAATTGCTGTGTCATTTTCACTGCCGAAACGGTCTGCTCTAATGAGGTTGTGCAGCATACTGATGAAAGAGGAAGAAGAGATCACAGCGCGGACCGACGGCAAGATGTCAAGACAGCTATTTGGCAATAGTGCCATTTTATTTTTGCAGTTGTATGAAAGTTATTCTCGCTTGGATCCGACTACCTCGCCGACCTGTTTGGTAGAGTTGATACATCTTCTTCACCAGAGACTTGGACATTATGGTATCTGCGGGCTGACATACTTTTCTGATATCGGTTCTGGGGAATCACACAAGGGCTCGTGTTTTCTCGAAACAAGTACGGTGCTATTGAGCAACCTTGTGCAAAAGACAGGTATGTGGGTTATGGAAAAACCTACAAAGAAATTGGATGAGGAGACTTCTATCGAATTTAATGCGGTGGAGGACGTATTGGCAGGTGAATACCTCTTCCAGAAGGAGACAAGCCAATGCTACCGCTGTTTGTACGACGTGCACATTCTGCCTGGATGCGAAGATCATAAAACGAGGACAACCTTTGCTTCGCTCCAAAATGCCAAGCTATCTGCTAGATATGAGGATGCAATGCGGTTGATACGGTTTGCTGTGCCAATACTTTTGGCCACAAAGGCGAAAAACAACGGCCAAAAGAAAGAGCGACTCAAGTTACTATATGCAGTCCGGGATGCTCTCTCAGGCTCAAGTTTTTCTGCCCTCTCTGCTCAATCGGCTACTGTTTCTCCTCGTTTAGAAGCGTTCTTGGCTCCAAGAGGCCTGCTACAGGAGGAAATGGCGCTACCTTTTCCGTTTCATACTACTGACATAAGTACAGAATCACCTGACAAAGTTTGCTTGGGTCATGTGTGGTACTTGATGGGTGCAAACTATATTCTTGGACGAGCAAAACGGCGAGGAAACTTGATTGAGCTAATGGAGATGGAGCAACATGTTCGAGAGCGGGTGGAATTTTTGATGAAAGATGTCTTGTACTATCATCCTGATCGGGTTGACTCATGGGTGTGCTTGGGAAAGACAATGAAGGAACTGTATCACGCTGCTACCGATGCATTTGCAGCTGTGCTTGGACGAAAACTCAGAGTTCAAGCATTCCAGTGGTATACAACCGAGATACTTTCCATGGACACAGCACAGGCAGGGAATGCTCATGGTAATCTTGACGTGTTTTCATTTCAAAATGTCGTTTTGGAATGGAACTTGTTTCAGAAAATAAAAGAGTGGCAATGCAAAGATGTCGATGGACACAAATTGGGTAGCACGTCTTCGACTTTGACGGATCTTGAGGAGGGAACAAAAGAGGACGATGCCCAAAGAACCAAAGCGCCTCATAGTCACGGTACCATTGAAAAATATGCTGCGATGTATATTGTTCAGGTGATCGAGTTTGCACGACGATGCTTTGATATGGCTGCACGATTGGCTGAAGAGGCTGTGAAAAGACATGGGTTGAAATCACAAAGTAAGCGTGACAATAATGACAACGATGTTGGTGTCGAGAATGCTTTTGACCTGGAGCTGGATGAGTTACAAAACAAGATTATTGAGTGCAATGAAGAGTGTGGATTGTTGCTCTTCAATGTGCTGCAAGAGTTCTCATTGATAAAGGAGCTGAATCTTGCTCTGTTTCCGCACGATGTGTACTCGCGTTTAATAAGCAAAACGCTAGCATACTTCCAAAGAGGATGGACGATTTGTGAGTCTAGGGAAAATGCTCATGAAGGTCACTTTCGTCTGCAATACATGATAGGCAAAACTTTGAAGAAAAGGCGTTGGTGCGAACTTTGTCAAGAAGAAAAGTCGGATCCAGAGGCGCTATCAACGGCAAAAGAAATGGCAGACAGCTTTTCTAGAGCGGAGTCAGCTCGTGACAAGGGAGATCGAGAGCACGCTCTCGTCCATGCCTTTTATGCTCTTCAGGCATTACGAATAGAACTCACGATCTGCGACTCATCATCAGTGTCGGCAATGCGCTTGGTTTGCAACCATTTTTACGAAAAGGGGGAGCAAGAAGATGATGCCGTAGTAGGTGTTGATGACAATGTCGGCTCTGCTTCTGCTAACGAATGCGATAGGAAAAATTGCAGTGATGATGCTGCAAAAAACACCAGCCGAAAAAATGCTGCACTCGGTGGCACTAAATGTGCCAGCATTGCGAGAAAAGATGACATTCTAGCACTGTTGGCGGCAGCTGATCGCAACAGCTCGGTCCGTGAGTTGAATGTGGCTCTTGCACGAGGCTGGCTTGCACTGAATATTATCAAGGCCCTGGAGTCAATACCAGATGAAGATCGATACTTTCATCCATCACGCTACGTACTGGCACGAATTGTGTATTGGTTGTCAACGTTCTGCTCTGGTCTGGAACAGCACGGCTATCGTGGTGACAGTATGACTGCATTTTTGGACGCTGTGCGTGTTCGTCAACGTGAAGAGAAGGTGGAAGGTCCTTCTGTCGCCGCGTCCAGGGCATTGAAGCAAATGGCTCCAATTTTCGACAAAAGACGACCTCAGATTGTCGCAATCTGGTTTTCCGAGTATATACCAACCGCAAAACGGTTTGAGGAATTGAATCAGCGACAGATGAAATATGATTACTATCGACTAAAGTACTGGCGGTTTTACATTGGTTTGCTTGTGGAAAATGGAGCGTATGGAAGGTTAAAAGAGGCCGGATCGTGGGTGTTAGCTTGCAAGGAGGACCATGATGTGATTGATATTATGCTTGGGATCGTACTTGAGGCACGTGGCAAAGTGCTTCGAGTTCGGCTTCAAGAGATGTTGGAAACAGTTAGTAGAAGAGGACAAGGAGGAGGACGAAGAGGAGTAGAATCAAGTCTCAATGTACAACTCCTCCGATACAAATGTCTGGCGAGTCTCAACCCGTGACGAAACTTATGAAACAACTTGCCAGGACGTACACGTATTATCTGGAAGTATTGACTGCTCAAGCACGATTGAGACATGTGATGGATCACAAGGATGGAGTAGTGTTACTTCAGAACGCTGAGTTTGCAATGGTGACCGTTTTTCTCATGGGAGGATTGGCATTCCCGGATAAGATTACGATGGTGCGAGAGAAGAGAGATCTCGTGCTTTGGAATGGAGATTTCGAGACAAACGTTCGATTGATTATGGAAGCTCAACGTCATGAGAAGACAGTAGATTTGTATTGTATGTATAATGAGGTTCAAGGTCAAGAAAGAGTATGGAATGTTTACGTTGATGCTGCACGATCATTTTGTGAAGAAAAGTGGCCTGAACGGTCAGGCAAAGGCATATCATTCTTGAAAAAGCCCATGCGGTCTTCTAAGGCTACTACTGTTACTGCTAGTGTTACTTTTGGACCTGACGGATGACAAGGAATCCGATTACTTCAGAGTGCCTGAAAAGTAGCGTTTAACGATGCTCCTATACAGAGTGATGGTCGTATTGGATATTCTACCAATCAGAGTCATTTTTAGTATTAGCGGGTCAATTTTAAGCTCGTTCCAAAGACGTTGTAAAGCTAACTTTTAGCAATGGGCGTGCAGGGTCTGTTACCAGTTCTCAAGAGTGTTATGGACCAAGTTCATGTGTCCAAGTATTCAGGAAAGACCGTGGGAATTGATGCGTCTGGATGGCTGTATAAAGGAGCCTATAGTTGTCCCGTGGATCTTGTTTTAGGCCGACGAACCGATGCGTGCGGAACGAATTAACCGTTGTTTTAGTAAAAGTGACCTTTAAATGAAGTACTAAAAAACTGCAACGTCAACTATAACAGGTACTTGAACTTTAGTATTCAGCAGATTACACAGCTACAAGAGCACAATATTACGCCCATATTCGTCTTTGATGGGGCGCCATTACCAGCAAAAGCACAAGAAAATGCGGTTCGTAGCAGGTGAGACAGAGAGAGAAGTAACAATAGGCAACTGACCAAGGTATCGAAAATGCAACGAGATGGCTCACTATGAGGTTTTCTATCAATGTTTTTGTTGCCTTAGATTGCGTGCAGAGTGGAAAACAAAAGCTCAGATGCTATTAGAGAAGCGAAAAGAAGAACAAGATTGTCGTGCAATTTTTGTAGCCTGTACAAAAGCTCTCACGGTGACCAACGATATGGTCATGAATCTAATCGCTGTGCTGCGACGAATGAACATTACATTCTTTGTTGCACCGTACGAAGCTGATGCTCAACTAGCATTCATGTCGAGACAAAAGATTGTAGATGTAGTCATTTCGGACGACTCGGACTGCGTGCCGTATGGAGTCAAAACAATTTTGTTCAAGCTGAATCAAAATGGATGGGGCAGTGAGCTCAAAAGAAGAAGTCTTGGTGCTAATGAAGACCTGTCGTTTGTTGGATGGACCGAAGAAATGGTATGGAAATGAGACCTATTGCCAGTAAGAAACTAACACCACTCGTTATGTGTGAATGTGCTATGAGCAGTTTGTTCAGTTGTGTGTGCTGGCTGGATGCGACTACTGTCCGTCTGTCCATGGCATCGGCATTATTACAGCCTATAAGCTTGTAAATCAGTACAAGACACCGAATGAGGTAGGATAAGCCACGGTGCGATTTGCTCATGGTCTATTTAATGAAAAACTGAAACGGCTTTTTTATGATAGGTCCTGGAAGCATTAAAGGTGAAAAAAGAGTCATTGGTGCCCAAAGATTTTGCAGAACATTTTTACTCGGCGATTCTCACTTACCGTCACCAGCTTGTCTTCGATCCTCGTGATGCGGCAAGTTATAACACCTTATGAATGTTCACATTTTGGATTGTATCCTCATGTTGTATTTGCTATTATTGCGTATTCTTACAGAAACTAAAAATGATCTGTCCACTTGACATTTCAAAGGACATTCTGCAGCAAGTAGACAGAAGCCTTGATTTTCTCGGCAACGTGGAGCTTCGAGACGATGTTGTTGCGTCAATCGCGTTGGGCCAAATTCATCCAGTCACACACGAAAGTTATGTGTGGAAAGATACCGCCGCTGCCATTGTACTTGAAGAACAGGCAGTTGAAAACCTCAAGCAAAGCACAACACGCTCGTTAACTTCCTCCGAAAGCAGTGGAATGGTGCTGCCAAACTTCCAGCAAAAGAACGCAGAAATCGGTGCTAACACTAACACACTGGACGATTTATCGCAAGAAGACCCCATCACGACCCGAGGCTCAAACAGATTGCAAACGGCGACATCACGCGTCCGATATGAAAAGCCACGGCCATCGTCGCGATCATCCTGGACGCACCTCGACAGCGTCTTAGGCTCGTCCGACCATATTGTGAATTTTCGAAGCCCAAAAGTGAGCGAAAATTTCAAGCCTTTAGCTGCGCTTCGCGAACCTCTTGCATTGATACGTAATTCCAGCGTTGCTGCGCAAAGTTTCAAGAAATTTGAAAGCTGCCCAGTGCGCGACCACGTGAAGCGCGTCAGAAACCCAGCCAACCGAAGACGAGATGGCAAGGGCAGTGGCTTCGAAGGCGAGGTACTATGCAGAGTCGACCAGGGTCACATTTCCAGTCTTGGAAGCAACACCGGAGTCCGACACAGCACAGTAGCAGCCGTCTGTGACGCAGATCGCTTGACTGACGACGAAAATGCCTTGCCTCAGCAAGCGAAGCGGCCTAAATTATTTAATCATCCTTCGTCACCGTCTTCACAGCTATCAGCGCACCTGTCAGAAGCCAGTAGCCAGAAGCTGCTTATTCGCCCGGCGCCATTCGGTTGTGGTCAAAGACAGGCGGCTTTCTCCACCAACAGCAGCGGCTTTAACCGGAAGCTGCCACAACATCACTCGCAGCAGCCGCATTGTCTACCGCCAGCTGCTGCAAAGTCAGTATGTAACTACGCCTATGCCACATCGGCCGAGGAGAAATGGGACCGCATTCTGGGTGACGATATCGAGGATGATACCAACAGCAGCGGCAGCCAGATAGGAGACCAAGAAATTAGCAGTCCTCCTGCTAGCTTCGTTGCGTCTAGCAGCAGCAGCAGTCGTTGTCAGCCCCTGGCACCGATCAATAAATCCAGCGGAAGTTAGCAGATCTAGCTAGTCTCAGAGTCAACGTCAACAACGAGAGAAAGTCATGGAGAATTTCTCTTCATTTGTAAAGGATAACGCTCACAAAATCATGCTATAAGACCAATCCTTCTGTCGCCGGTCGAGCTTCATCGTCTTTTCCACCGCCTCGTGTCGCTTGCAAGGCAAAAAGTCGTCGCCTTCGAATTGCCTCCTCGTCTGCACTGCTATAACTCGTCCTCAGCGGCGCTGAAGTTGCAGGGATTCCCAGTCTTCGAGCACCTAGCACCGCTAAATGCACAGGTACAAGGTTGCTAGTCCTTCTGTTGCCAAGAAGATTCGGAACCGGTGCTACCAAGGCCGCACTCGTCGGTGCCTCGCGAGTAACAAAGCTTGTCTCTTCCATGGACTCTTCCAGTGCTCGCATCCATTGCGAGGCCTCCTGCCTCCGTCAACGCCACCTCGGCGTCCGAAGCGTCCGCGTTGATAGTCTCGCAATGGGGGCATCTTTTCCAAAAACCTCAGATTAACAGAAACCATGGGCCGCTTACGTCGCGGCTGTTCGTCGTGCTGGACCTGATTATTTACAAGACACAAAGACTCGTGTTGTCGGAACTGCATTGACAGATGGTCGTCGCCGTTCACGTGCTTGGCAGCTGGTAACGTCTGCGAGCGAGTGCGCTTGGTGGTTTGAGCTGTCATGTTGGACAAGGTTCAGTCGTTCTAATATCGGTTGATTTGCCGAATGAGAGAGAGACAAGATCCGTAGTTTTGGCTCAAGCTGAACGTTTTCGAGTCTGAGTTCTAGTTCTGGGCCGTCGTTTTGCTCTCGAACTGCTCGGTCGTTTTGTGCAAAGAGACGTAGACTGCGATGTGTAGGTTGTTTAGCCCTAAATTTCCAATGAGCTTTGGTTTCGACGTTTAACTTTGGAGCTGCCATGTGGTCTGGATTGTTTCTGCGTTGCTCTTGATTGATTTGGGTCGTGGCAGACGCAATGTTTCCAGTCGACAGAGAAGTGATCAGATATGTATCATCCTCCAAAAAAACACGCATAGGTTAAAGTAACAGTTTTTGATCATCTAGATGGTACTGACACATTCACATGAGCATTAAGAACATGCTGCATGCCTCTCCATTCGCTTGGTAGCGTAATGATACTTATGGTAGTTTACCACGCTATCATTCAACTGTCTGACTTCTTTAACCAGCTGTGAATCGTCTAATTGAACAGGCGAATTCCTCGGGGTGAGTCAATAAATATGCTGTGGTATATGCTATGATAAGCAACAGAGACAACCTGTATCTGCATCACATTGTATTGTAATGTACGTGTGTACATGTAGTGGCAATTACAAATCCAGATCATGTCGAGACATTGGTGCAATAGTGTCCAATGTGGCTTCAGTCCAGACGCTACAAGTAACCTGTTGTTAAATCACAACGTGTATCGCCTTAGGACCGAGACTAGTTGCAATGATACAATGCAACGTACGTCATGTTATAGCATCAGACCTCAACTACTGACTTAGTCCTAGCTGTCGTCTTGCCTAATTTCACTCCTAGACGGAATCTCGTCCGAACTCAAAGAAGGGTGTTTAGGCTAGCGATAGAACCGAACCTGACAATCCAGACCCTCCGTCTTCGTGTTGATACTGCTATATGTCTACCAATGCAGGTGCGTTTTTAATGTGTCCATGGCCAAGTCGAAACCAACAGTAAAGTGTTTGAACAGAATTTGAATGCTACAGTGTTTTTGTGAATGTGTGAAAGCGCCTTGTAGCCTAAACTTCTAATGCCACGCTTATGGTGCCAAGCAGTTTCGATAGCCTTATCACATTTGTTTACATAAGCTTTTTGTCTTGTTTCCTACGGTCTCCGTCATGTTGTTTTTACAACTTGCTGTCACTAGGTTTGACCAGCATCGATAGGTCATGTATTTGTCAAGTTTTATTCGAAGCTGGCCGTTAAAAGGAGTTCCATTTTTTCGACATTTGATGCGATAATTTCGACTTTTCAGATATAGTGGTGAATCAGAGACGTGATAAACTGATTGATTTGAATCTGATCAAAAAAAAAACATATCGTATTATAAAATTTAGACATTCCTTAATCATATTAAAAATTAGATTCAGGTACAGCACGTATAAGTTCGCTCTGCTAAAGCATTATATTTACTAAGATTTAAGCCTATCCTGTCTAAAATATGATCATTTGTAGCATTTCTAAGATTTTACATCTCTCTAAAAACGACACAGGACAAAAGGCCAAATCAACAATACACCACGAAGTCCTGATCCTGAAGACCTATTCCATTTTAAACGGTTGTGCTATCGAATACGACTTGAAAACACCTCTTACATCTCACGCCTGGCATCTTACCATGGTCTGGCGCTACTACATTTGCATTTTTTTCGACATTGAAGCAGCTGTCGAGAGCTTTTTTTGGGAAGGATTTATGTAGATCCTACACCTGCAGGATTCCGTCCCTCTGCGAGCGAGTGAGGATCATTTATTGGACAATGCTTTGCTACCGCTTGAGGTCCACTCTCTTGGCGGACAAACCGTGAATCTTAAGCCCAAACAGGTGCTCGGACGTTTTCTCGTATCGCCGACGCATCGAGTCCTACAGAACACGGATTCCCGGGAAGTCTACAATCGTGTAAAGACGATCATGCTTGTGCGTAGCGATCCAGCAGGCAATCCATACTTGATCATTGGTAAGGATGTGCCGGGGTTCTGCCTGGTCATGAGGTCGTGCTGCCAGCTATTTGCGAATCCATTGGTTACTAGATGGTAAGTGATAGCAGGCAGAGGTTTCATGAGAAATCCTATTTTCAATGGGTGTACTCTAGTTGGTTGAGATAGACCGACAGGCAACTTTATGGGCGCGGCCTAAGGAAATTCGTGGATGCTAGGATGTGCTTTGAAGACGAGCCCGGTGTCCCTCAGAATGCATTGTAAACAATCCAGTTGTAATGACGCGCCGCAGTTCAGCGAGCTCTTCTGGATCGGTCCTTTTACTCAAGTGACTTAGGCACAACTCCCATCATGCACTGGAAGGAACCAGGGTGCAGCCTAGGCTTGCAGTGTTAGAAACGCACATGTGCGGCTCGAGCCAAGCCACCTTTCTCGTCCTACATATGTCTTCACGGCGAAGGAATGACGGTACAGAAAGAGGCAGTATCCTGCTGAACTGAGACAGTCCGGCAACTCGAAGCCGTCGCAAGACGCAGTCACCACAAGGCAGACGCTGTTGTCCACGGCTCCTGCATTGAGATTATCACCTATTCTCAACGAGAAAGCACACGAGATTTTATGAAGAGTAATTCCTGACACAATGTCGCGCCCTTCGGTGCCGGTGTTGATATCCCAGCGACAGACATACTAAGAATAGTCTTGGACTAAACTGTAGACAAACATTTTGAATCTGAATCTCTCGCTCTTCTCTCCATTGTACGCGTCATTAGACGTTAGTCATTGGACGTTAGTATAGCAACAGTAAGATTTCTTAACGTTACATTAGCTAATCGTGCCGACTAAGAAGCGATGGCCAAAAAAAGGCCGTTTTTTCGATACGTCGTAACAGTCGTTCAATCGTGAACACAAGCATGTTCAGTACGTTGCATGCACGTAACGCTCCACTTGGTAAAGGACTTTATGGATCAGAACGATTTAGTATGATTACATCTAGAAGTCAGCAAAGAATCTAGAGAAGTATAATAGTACAATAGGAATCTAGCAAGTGAAAACATGTGAACATAGGTCGTAGTTTTCTTACGTAAGCACTGTTACTTCAGGCATCGTCAGCACAGTATTTCCATTATAGATAGTATCAACAACACTACGTGCCATTAGCTTGCAAAATTGTAGCGTGTTTCAGATCAATCGAATGACCACGATATTTGAAACAGCTGGCTGTGGCGAAACACTGCTGCCATGACATGACAGGATTGAGGCTGTCGGGTTCTGTATATTTACGGAAATTTTTGGTACGTCAGAAATTCAGAACCATGAGCAGAAGACTTCTTGTAACAAATGTATTTGGGCAAAGGCCAGTGTGAGCATGCTCCATATATAAAGTCATCATGAACAATCACTAAGCGATACGGTATTCTAGTTTAGAAGTAAAACACGATGCACCGGAACCTTTTCTTCATGGGACTGTACCAAGCAAGCTACACTATATTGAAACAGTCGACGATATCTTTTCTTACATTAAACCTCCATATAGCTGAGTCTACAATGGGTCATTGCTCGAGAATATAGCGAAAGATAGAGATACAATAGAGAATCTGTATATAAAATCCATGTTGTTGTACTCAACGGCCGAGTCGTTTTGAACCAACAACGTCAAGTTGAAGTTGATCGGACAATATTGTAAAGTAACGCCACATGTGCGCTAATTCCTGACAACTTTAGTTAGTAAACAACCTTATGGACACTTTATAAAGCCCTCGACGCATAGTAGTACTACCCAACACATACGTATGTACAAAAGGACACTTTTCAGTGTAAAAAAAAGAACGTTTGCAATCCTTTTTCTTCGTCGTGTTTCTCAACGTCGCAACAACAATCAACTACAACCACACAAAAATGATTAGGGTATTGACACAATTTGCCGATTTATTCTATCAATTTTATCCAATCGTAACGTTGTCCTCTACAACTGTCTGTCCGCTTACATCACTCACTCACTCACTTTTGTTTATTTCTAAAACACGCAGTCAGAAGATGGAAAAACACGTTGTTGAACGCATTTGTCAGCGTGTACTTGTTGAAGTGCTTAATCTGAATCCTGTTGCTATTCCAGAACCTACTCGAGCTATTTGGCCACAATGGAAGAAACAAGAGAAGCAACAAGTGAGCCTTCGTGTCCTTAGTCTGAATGCATGGGGTAAAAAAAGCATATGTTTTGTCTTTCTATGATTTAGAAAAAAGTGATAGAAATGGTTTTCCAATTAGAAACTCACGTTTCTCGTGACTATTTATCTATCTCAGGTCTTCCAGTAGCTCCCAAGTGCACGGAGCGAGCAGTTAAGATTGCTAATGCAATCTCAAGTGCCTATGAGCTCGTTGTCCTGCAGGAAATTTGGCATATTCGAGAACGACATCTTATTATTTCGAAAGCGCAAGAAAATGGACTGCATTATTACCATTATTTTAATCCAGCAGTGGGGTTTCCATTTCCAATGGGAGCAGACTCTTTTGGTACAGGACTCTTAGTCTTGTCGAAGTTTCCAATTTCTAGTGCATTGTATCATTCTTTTGGTCTTAGTGGAAGACCTTATGCCCTTCATGAGTTGGATTTTGTAGCGAATAAAGGTGTTGGTTTGCTTCGGATTGAAACACCAGCGGGACAAATTGACGTGTACGTGACCCATTTACTTGCGAATTACAATGTAGGAGGAAAACCTGGAACTGGGGATTTCTATCAATCGCACCGAACGGGTCAGAGCTACGAACTAACGCAGTTTATTTCAGCTACGAATATGAATCCATTAGCTATTGTTTGTGGAGATTTTAATTCATCTCCTGCTTGTTTAGAGCTGAAAGTACCACGACAATTGCTGTCTCTACGAGATGCATTTACCGATGCAAATGATGAGAAGGACGGGTTAACGTTTGCATCACCTGAGAACAAGTACTCACATGGTGATTACCCCATGCGCATGGACTATGTCATGTACAAGGTTAATAAACAACCGACGGATGAATCGGCTTGGCATTTGGTAAATAGCAGCATCTTTAAAGGCTTCTTCATCGATGCTCGAGGCGAAAAAACACCCTTGTCAGATCACTTTGGCGTCAGTGCAGAGTTTACGTATAGTGAACTTAGACCGCATAATTGCGAGCAACGGGATGATTTTGATGTTGTGTCTACGAACGAAGTAGAACCATTACTTTCGAAGGTGGTAGAGCGGTCGTGGCCAACGACGACGTGCTCAAACTGCGACGAACAAGAGCGAGAGCAGAGCAAGGAGGACAAGGCTGCTGCAGACGCTGCGTGCCTCCAAGAGGTACTGCACATACTTTATGCTGGCCGCAATCAAGCGATCGCAGCACGCCAAACTCGACTCCGGCGTGCCGTGACGTTCTTCGGAGCGGCTCTAGCGGTTTTTATAACCCAAATGATGTCAATTGTGGTATCAAACTGGTCCTGGGTCGCCGTGCTGCTGTTGGTTATGATCAGTGTGACTGAGTACGTCTTGGCCTTCTTTTTTCTTACGTTTGAGTGCTCAACGTTTACTGAGCTCACCAACCAGGTGCAATTACATCTCCACGTACACGCGCATCGGACAAAGGAGATGATTGTGTCGAAAGGTAGACATTGATCCAGGAGGACTACTAGGTCGGCTGCTCGACAGTAGACGACGAGCAGCGCAATATAGATGCAGTTGGACCGAGCGAAAACAATTGTCAGAAGCACACGACAAAGCATAGGTTGTCTTTAGTTAGAGAACAAGACCTGATGAGATTGGACTCACGATGCCTAACTTAACATTGATTGCATTTCAATCTCAATGCCGCATGTCACGCCTGACCTGAAGCCATTGCGCGATGCACGCCACCAAGTAATAGACATAGTTTTAAATATCTTGGAGATCAATGTTGACATAGTCTTTTCATAGTTAGCGTCCAAGATGATGGCAACTTTTTATTCCTCCATACCCTTGCACGTTGCTGGTCTCCAATAAATATCCTATAGCTTATTCGCTAGTCATCGACACTCGACGACCTTTGTGCAGTGTCTGAGGAGCTAGCCAGACAAATACTCTGTCCTAAAAAACAGCAAACCACAGGATGGTATGTGCATTGCCACATATGGAGAAGCAAATTTCTTGATGACCGGACAGTCTGGTAGACAGTCTCTTTCGTGATGGTGATATATCGGATGGATAGATACCGAGGCCACATGATCCGCATGATGCTACTTCAATAGTTAGTGGACCAATTCAACTTCATGGCGTGCCATCCTCACTCAGCTCACCACATTTTCATTTCCCAAGTTTCCTCGGTACTGACCTGTCGTTTCTTCAGCTTGGTAGCATTTGCACCTATGCAGACTTCAATGATGCCCCGTCGACACAAATTTGCCCCTCATCTCGTGACGATCTCCGAGACTGCTACCATTTTCGTAAGCAAGGAGAAAAAGTCCTGCATTGCAGAACTAGAGACAGGTAGTATCTCTACACGTTCGAATGATGCGAGAATTACACGATCAAACTCTGCACCACCTGACGCGGAAGCGATTAACCGACGATTGCCAATGTTAATGTCGGCGCGTAATCGTTCACATTCGGCCGAGTGTCTGTTAAGGGCCACTACTAAGACCTGCACGACAACGACAGCCGAGACTCGCGCTCCATTCTTCAACATTATCGACGATTGCTCGCAGAAACTTGACAAGACCAACAAATATGGACGATCGAAACTTCACAATGCCGTTCGGAAGGGTGACAAACAAGCAATCACACATCTTCTCGCGACTGAGCCTGAATTGCTACACCAAGCGGATAAGCGAGGCAATCATCCGCTACATTATGCCGCTAGTCCCAATGTCCCGAACGGTGTTGCTGTCGCCTGTTTGTTGCTCAAAGCTGGTGCATCCGTGAACGCAATGAATAACCGACAACAGACACCTCTATTCATCGCTGTCATCTCGAACAACACTGATGACGACACTATACCGAGACTTCTCCTTTTTCACCATGCAAAACCGATGATTAAGGTCACGAATGATCTTATGCTGGCACATTACGCCTCCTCTCGAGGTCATTACAAGGTCGCTGCTACCATTCGTGAGTACATTTGAGAAGACAGCTTTTTCACAGAACACTGACATGACCATAGCGTTGTGCAACACTTGACGTTCATGGGAAAAGTTGTAAGCTGAGGGAATCAATCAATAAAAGTTGGACACACCCTGTGTAGCCAGAAAGCAGGATGACAAGCTTAGCCATCTCGAACCATAACATCGTACTTTCACCTTGAACTTGCATTCATATGCCGTTATCATCATTTTCTAATTTGTTATGCTTGAACTCATGTATTAGCAGCTTTCTCGCGCAGTTTTGTTGGTACATATATCCTGCTGTATGAAGCCGAGCGTTCTCCTTTGTAGCAAGCTCTAATAAAGGTGAATTACAGATCATGTAGTGTTGGCGCCAAAATCTCTCCTGTAGTAAAGCCCTCTACAAAGAATGTAATGAGATCGTAGGCCATCATACTCTTGCACTTAGCAGTGAGATCCTGCTCATTGCAGCGGCATTGGTCGTCTCGACCAAACTGTCTTTTTGTTCATAACCACATCGCTCTTGAATTTCTTAAAAACCGTATTGCTTTCCATGGACAACCTGTAGCCAATACAAGTAGCCTTAAGCCGCCAAAGCTCACCAGCGATTGCGCGCCAGTCACCACAAAGCTTCGATAATGAGACCGTCTAGACTCGTGCTCGTCGTCTCGTAGGACTTTGTGTTGCGTGTTGAGCTTGATTGTGAGGACAGTCTTAACAATGGTATCCAACGTAAAGTGGCTCGGTTCCGCGTTGGCGCTTGATGTTCATCACGCCTTTAAAGTGAAGCCCAAAGCTGCAGACAAGTTTCTCGCGCACCCTAGTTTCGATAGCGTCCTTCATCATCGGCGTAAAGACGAGGTGGCTAGCTAATCATTGTGAAACATCGCTCAGAAGAGACTCGCGTTGGCATCATGCAGAATGAGGGCCAATAATGCATGATCACTTGCAATGTTCGCAATTAGCGTTTTACTTCCAAGTTTTGGACCGAAATCGTAGGTTGTGGCCACATCCACGTCAAAATGCCTGCTCCAGGATATATGCAAATGTATCAAGGCGTTAATAAGCGCTCCGTTGAAAGCAAGCAAGGCCTTACCAGCTGCAGCCAAAACCACGTCTTGTTGAAGACTATTGGCTAGTGTATTGCACTTTGCGCTCTTATGTCAAATCTTCTGGTCAGGTCAGCGTTTCGGCAGCTTTATATTTTCAGGCTTACGGACCATCTGCAAACCCGTTTGGTAAAAAGTTCGAGTTGCTCCAGGCGTCAATATAGATGGCTTCCAAATGGTAACAATTGTTGCGACTAACATGTATTGAATAGCAACGAGGACACATTGCATCGTCACCTTTGAAATGACCGGCATCGGGGTGCATACGTAAAGCACTTTCACCTCGATCTCATCGTACTGTATCGCCACTTGGCAAACGGCAAAGAGAGGTTCAAAAACAATCCACTCCATTTCATACGACGACCGATGTATTAGCAAAAACTATTGAAACGCACCCCACGAGAAATCATTGACCGGTGCTGGCGTTGACACTGATTCTTGGGTTCCTGTTACCTTTGCAGCAGCATCCGGAGCAGCAGGCAATGAACTAAAGCCAAACGGGTCACTTGACGCCGGTGGATTGGCAATATTTGCTCCAAACGGCGGAGGAGGAGGTGAGTCTTGTGACGTCGCAGCCCCAAATGTGCCCCAGCCGCCGCTAGACGCACTGTTATGAGATTGCACAGATGTAGGATCTGAGCTCTTAGGAAGTGTCGTCATAGCTGAGGACATTGCTAGCTCTCCCACTGTTAAAGCGCCTTTGGACAGGGCAAATACAGGATTCTTCGACTCTTCGTATACAACATTACTAGGTTGGTGAACAAGACTCTCAGCAACAGCAGTCGTAGCAAAAGCAGAACCTCCTGCCATCACAGCTACAAGACGTCCAACCATATCTGCTTTCTTTGTCACAAGTTGTGCAGTCCGATGCTGTAACGCAACAAGTTCTTGCGTCAAGGCACTGATAACGTCAAGTATCTCTCCAGAATCTTGTGCGACGTCTGATACGAGCGAAGGGTTTATCTTGTGCGTACCAATAATTTGCATACCATGAATCTCATTTCTAATCGTACTCACGTGTTTCTCGAGTATTTGTCTCCAGTCATTCAAACCGTCTACTTTTCTTGTCAAACTTGGCATCGAATAGCCTAATTTAGTCACTTGATTACCCAGACGTTCCATAGACAAGTATACCATCTCTAACGTTCTTGATTCGATAGTATCAACTTTTGACAATTTTTGCCTTTCAGATTGTCGATTGTACAATTCTGTTGTCACAAAATCCTGTAGTGACGTTGTAGTGACTAAGGACATTAATAGTGTCTCGTTGGATGACGCGGATGCGTCATCACTAGCAACACAATTTGACAGTACTAGACGTTTTGGGGACACTTGAGTCGGGACACTTGTTTTTCCAGCTGGTAAATTTAAGGTTGGAAATAAATAGGTCGGAAAGGTCGCTGGTAATTTATTTAAATGACGTTTTGTCATACACACAATCAAGTGCATTCCCAATATAAATTCCGTCTCATTCATAAAGTTTACGTCTGGAGATAAATAGAGTACTTTAATTTGAGTATAAAGTAACTCTATTTGTTCAATAGAGAGACTGGATTTACGATAAAACGTAACAACTTGATCGTGCGGAAGAAGAGAATGACTTGTTTCGGCTAATTTAGCAAAGAAAGCACGATAGCGAGTAGCTTCTAATTCAATCATTGTATAGAGCTGAGTATCCAGTTGTTGAGTGTCATTTACAGGAGAAGAAGAGGAGACGGATGTCATAAAGGACATTGAAATGGTTGGTAGCGAGTTTTTCGAGAGTTTAAGGTAAAGTGTTTAAATGGCTGTATTATAAATAAATACAGGGGATATTGATTATCTTTTAATGCCCAAAAATACCTTTTTCGACACCATTTCTTTGATTTTGTCAATTCTTCACTTAAAATCTCTATCGGTTAGGACAAAAAGTTTAAGAATGAATAACATGTTGAAAATAATGCTATGGCGCACGTACGAGCTTTTCGACTCTGAGGTTTAAGTAGAAGCTGTAATGTATTTACCATCACGACGTGAAAGAGGTCAATTACTTGTGGTAAAACCGTTGACTGCAAGTATTCGACCAATCTGTTTCAACTTGGTTCACTTTTACGCACTCTTTCGTGTCATTGGAGCTCCTCGTACATGTGCTTGATCTCTGCTTGGAAGCGCATCTTCAGTTGCGGGCGTTTCAGCTTAAACGTAGGTGTAATTAAATTCTCATCGACGGAAAATGGATTCGGGTGCAAGTGCACCCCCTTGACAAACTCAAACCCGCGAAGTTTTACTTCTTTTCCAATCGCATCCATGTCTTTCCGAACCTCCTTTTGAAAAACCGGGTTATGAACTAACTGCGTCACGGTACCCTGATCACCTGAGAGACCGTTTGCAATCCCCCCACGCTTCGGCGGCTTCAGGGTCAGGTACCACAACTGCCACGAGGCAGCTCTGAAGTGAGTCGCCATAAACGAAGATCTGGGCAACGTACTTGCTCTTGAGGTACACTCCCTCAATTTTCTCGGCCGCAACGTACTCGCCCTGTGACAGCTTGAAAATGTTCTTTTTGCGGTCAATAATACTGAGCGTACCGTCAGCATTCCAGCAACCAATGTCACCCGTGTGAAACCACCCATTCTCGTCAATTACTTCAGCCGTTTTCTCCGGCTGCTTGTAGTATCCAGCAAATATCACAGGACCCTTCGCAAGAATTTCTCCGCGCGGGCGAGGCTTATCCTTGCTGCTGTAGCCCATCTCAGGTACGTCTTCAAGGCATAGTTGCACACGAATGAGTGGCGGACCAACGTGGGGCCCCAATGGCATATCACCTGAAGCAAGTGTCAGACCAGCTGCTGTTTCACTCAATCCATATCCCTCTACTACATCGCAACAGAAGACAATCTTCATGAATTCCTTCACATCAGCGCTTAGTGGAGCAGACCCAGACAGAATAACTCGAACTCGTCCTCCTAGCACCTGACGAATCTTGGCAAATATCAGTGCGTCCCACAGCGCGTGGGTCTTGTACCCTGCACTCAAACCCGCGCGTTTACTTGCGTACGCCTGGTCAAACATGAGTTTTTTCAATCCTCCCGCAGCTTCAACGCCCTGTCTGATCTTGTCATACACGCGATTGAAAAGCCTTGGCACTGAAACAAACAATGTCGGAGCCAATTCCGCCAAATCGTCCATCAAGAACAACACGTCTCCCTGATAAAATCCAGCAGCCGCACTGTTTTGAAGAATCGATCCAATCACTGCCCGTTCAAAAACATGTGGCAAGGGCAAGTACGACAAGTGTACGTCCGTTGAGTCAACTCTCAGCCTCTCTCCTGCCAACGTACTGATAATCGCAAAATTTCGGTGCAATAGAATGACACCCTTGGGGTCTCCAGTCGTTCCTGATGTGTAGCACAACGTGGAAATGTCTGTCGGAAGTGGAGGATCTGCCGGTAGTGGCTCTGCTCGTCCCATAAGCTCCAAGTCGTTCATGCTTTTCAGCTCAATGTTCTTGGCCGCAGCGACACGTCGTTGCTCCTCTGTCACGGGTTCAAACTGCACTACTGTCTTGAGCTTAGGACAGACGTCTCTACAGTCCATTACAACGTGAAACTGATCCATTCCACAAAACAACACTTGTAGCTCTGTTTGATTCACAATGAACGGGACAGCATCGGGTCCAAGTGTATCGTAAAGTGGCACTAAGACATAAGCCATGCGATCACAGGCATGGGCTACTAGACACCATTCAATCTGGTTTTTTGCAAAAATACCAACGTTTTCTTGGCGTTTTAACCCACAAATGCGTGTTAAACCCGATGCTAAGTCTTCCATACGTGTTTTAACTTGACTATAGCTTAGCCATTGAAAAGAACCAGCTTTTCCCGTATTTCGGTCGACCACACGACGACCGTAGCAAGGTCGGGCACCATCTTGACGATCCCAACCACGTAAGAAATTATGATACATTGTCTGCTGGGCCTCATCTACGACCACTGTATTCGGCACTTGATACGTCGGACCATGCATTGCATCACCTGTATTCGGTACATCAATCGTATAACGAAGCCCCGTGTACGACTCAAAATCAATCTCACTCATAGGCACAGTTGTGCTGTAGGTTGAGCCCATAGTACTATGTAAATTCCAACGGGGTGTGTGAAAGAATGTATGTATTTGATGCAAAAAACAGAAGAAATGATTTTTTCACAGATATTTGAGGTGAAAGATTGCTAAAAAGGGTTTTGAAAACCCGACGTGCGACATTGAAGCAACTTAGATAAAAACATTTAATGTAGCGCACATAGTAGCCGCTATTCTGAAAGGAAAAAGAACCTAATGTACTTTATAAACAACGACTTGTTTATTTTTTAATGTTCTTTAATTTTAGTGTGTTACCTATTTTACCTACGGTCAACATCTTTCACCCTGGTTCAAATGATATCGAATTTTTCTATTCTTTGGCCTTCCACTAATGTATCTATGCACCATGTAAATAGTAGTATAACGCTCTATTCAAGTGGATACGGTACTTCTATGAGTGTTTTTCTACTCAATGTCCTTGTTTGTCGATGTCAAGACATGTATGCTCTACGAAACAGTTTCTTGTTGCCTTTAGCAGCACTAAGGTTGTCAAAAACTACTTTGCATTTGTAATACAGGAGCTAAGTACGTGTGGAAATTAAATGGTCGCTATGATGCTTTGCTTTCCACTCGTTTGAAGCCATAATTTCCAGCATCACCTTGTCATTGAGATTCATGAATTGCAATGGTTTGTTATTTACGAAATCACACGAAGATGGAACCCTCTTCCACTGACACGACGACCATAGGTTGGACAAGGATAATCCATCCTCTGATAGTATTCCACCTGTAGCTTCGTGGTTGGCAGAGTTGCGTCAAACACGAGTGAGTAGTGAACGACGATGCGGTTCTTGTGCTCAATGCTTTTTGTGATAGTATGCACTCAAACGTTGGTGGCTTCTTCTGAGCTCGCATCGAAGCTTTTAAATGCATGCGTCGTCAGCTGACACTGGAATTGCTGACAAGTTTGAAATGTGCTTCTTCTACTTGGCAACGTCATTCTTGTCGCGTTGCTTGCCTCTATATGGTGGTAACACATTTGTCTGTGGACTTGGATCTAGGAAAAGATGGAGGACGTTTCACGAAACAAAATGACGTCAAAAAATACTTCTTTGCACCGTCATTTGTGACCAACTACGCTGACATAGGCTGCGCAACAATGCAGCTGATTTACGTCCATACATTTCAAGACCTGGTCGAGCGTGTTTATTACAACGAGGGCCACCTCACGCTACAATTACTGGTCGGCACGCGTATGCTATCCGTGCGACTGTATCGACTTTAGCTGGCTAGCCCAATTCCATTGTTTGCGGACAATTCAGCTGCAATGCAATAACAAGCAAACTGTTCAGCTGTCTTTAACATGTGTGAGCTTCCAACCAGGATCGATTCATCGGGGTATGGATATGCTCAAGACCTAAGTTGCTCAAGTTGTTGCACATTGGACATATTTCAGCGCGTCACAGTAGCGTGTGTTGGTCAAAATTAAAAGTATTCCATGTCAAGCCTGATCAACATCTCTCGCTGCAGAATGAGTTTCTGTCTAGTTGATCCATTTGACAATAGTTCGTACCATCTACGGAAGGACAATTGAATACTGTCAATAGCGACAAGCACTCTGCTTCAAAATAAGTGAGTTTGTAGAATGCGTAGGCTGTGAACTAACCGATGTTAAAATGAAATTCTCTCAAAAGCTTGGAAATACAATATGTTGGCACATACAAGGAGCAACACAGTCAATCAAACCATCAACGTGAAACGCGTGCTATCAGCATTGGACAAACAAACAGTCAAAACAAAGAGCAAAACTAACATCAGCAATATTTACAACAACAACGATTTTATGGCAGATACTTACTACACATTACATTATGAAGCTGGCTTCTTTAAGAGTGTTTTTAACGCCTGCAATCTCTATTTTCGCTTTTGGATATTCAAGTGGATCTTTGTTTTTCAAATCTTGAATGGCCTTTTCAATTGCGGCGCGATACAGATCAGTATAAATACTTGAATATTCCCGGTTGGTAATGGACGCTACCGATTTTCGTTTAGCTATCCATGACCTCATCAAATCAGTAACCGCCATGTTCTGCAATATTTGGTGCTCCTCCTTCTGCTGATGAGCGCGTAATATAGTGACGGTTTTCTCCTCGCCAAACACCTTAATCATCATATCAGCAATCATAATCTGACTTTTTTTGGAACCTTGGACGGCAATATTGTGCGCTGTCATGATATCCTTTAGTTGTCGCAGATACCCTTTTGATATAAACTCATCATCAGCCACCTTGTCCTGTTCATACTGGGTCCTAAACGTGGTCGCAGCCGCATCTAATTTCTCGTCATCAGTTTCTCCCTTGGCATTTTTATAGATCTCCTCGCCATTTCCACGCCTAGGAATCTCCTGGTTGATAATAGCATCAACATTATTACGTCCAACTTGCTTGGCGGTGACAGCATCATCCGTCATTTCGGCTTGAGGTTTCTTTTTGTTGACATAAGACTTTATCCACGTAAAAAATCTGGATAACTCAAACCATCTCTCTTCGTCTGCAGAGGTGTCAAATCTCAAACGTCGATATACAGTGTCATCTGCCTGAACAGGCTTCGAGTTCGTAGCGGCCAAGGTGTCCATACTGATGACGACGGTGACAGCTGCAGCAATGAGTAATGTATATAGAAGACGCATTAGTCTTGTGGACGTTAGGTACAAATTGAGTACTTGATGAAGAAATGAAAAGTGAGAACTGGTCTACGGACAGGACTGCGGTCAAGTTTAGATTAACTACAATTTCAAGGAGTCGTAAGTATAGAACGACATGTCCTTGTTTCTTCTTCTTATTATTATTAGGTAGTCTCATCTTGAAGATAATAGCATAAAACACACACATGAGTTAGAAAGTTTGATTTCATTATAAAGATGTCGGAAAGTATCTGCTTATATTACCAAAAAAATGTGCCACGGGATCTGACATTGTGGGAACTATAGACTTTTCTTTTCTTGTTTGACTCTCTGCTGGCTAGATTTGTAGCACATGTGTAGGATAAAAAGATCATCGTATGGTGTTTTATGTTAGGGGTGGAAACAGTTCTCTGTCAGCCGATGTTTTCCATCAAACAACATGTGATTCTTACTGGAAAGGTAAGTTTTACCTTCACTATGCGATGCATAGAGAGGTATGTACGCACGACTTGCGTCGTAGCGTTGTTACGACAACGCATCTCTGTACCAAGACAATAGCTCAGAATTCGAGTACGACCCTATTTGAGCATTCGACCATCCGTTTTGTCCGATTATAGAGCTTTTGATCGTGTGAACGTCTCACCGGAAGGACGGCAAACATGGCAAAGAAAAGTCCATCATCTACTTAAACGACTAACTACGCATTGAACGTAACACAGACATTCCACAAGTTGGCTTCATTTAACGATCTCGCCTTCGCATTTCGCTAACCATTCAGTTTCTTTATTGCGAGGTATCTGGATTTGGACATTGAATTATTTTTGGCATATGGGGCTCTGCTGCCCATTCCATTATCACCGATTTGTCGAGCACGAGGTTGTTGGGTTGATCGTTCTATTAAAGACTGTATTGCGTATTTCTGGCACCCGTACGAAATTCCAAACGTCTATGTTAGTATAGAAACCTACTACTAAACTTGGTAACGCTATAGCGACAAACCAACTTGCATTCCTCGATAAAAGTGCTGACAAGATTATTAAATCTGTCTTTGGTCAGACCTGATCTTAAGTCGATATGGACCTGCTTAACATAACACGACACTCGTACGTTTGTCATGATAAACATGAAACGATGTGTCACACAAATTGCGAGCTCACATTCCCATATGTTTCTTGGTAGATGCACAAACGCATTTCTCAACTTAACATAGACGAGCGTTACAAGAGAACAAAAGCTATTTACTCATTCGACAATACGTCAACGTATATACAGACGCTAAGCAAGTTGCTGGCGTCGTGGATCTAGCTACAGATCAAGCACACTACGGGTCCTGCCTGTTCCATGAGGTCATGCTATTCGCTGTCGCCATGACTGCAAGACGATGAGTGATAGCAACCAAAGTTTGCTGAAAAGTTTTATTTTGCAATAAGCGTACTCCAGTCGGTTGAAGCAGACCAACAGGCAGCTTTTTGGAATCGTCCGAGGCGCGGCCTAAGGGAATTCGTGGATGCTAGGATATGCTTCGTAGACGAGCCCGGTGTCCAGCGAAGGTATGCCCCCGTCAGGTTCCAGGAAACTCAGTGCTGGTCTGCGTCATGCGGCAGAATGATGTTGTGGGTGCCACCTGGGTGATGAACCGCTACACGAAAGCTTGCGTAAACCGCGGAGGCTGCTAAAGCGTGAGAGCTGCGTTGAGAGAATCCGTGTCGCAGTTTCTTACCATATAAAATTACGCCATAGGTCGGAAAGTATAAAAAGTAGCTGTTGCCATCATCAAATACATCGCTTTGATCAGCTTGTTCTTGTAAGTGTATCTATAACATTGGGGTTGCCGTCAGCTAATTACGGGATCACTGTCACAGACGACGATGTTATACGATGGTACGAGGTACCACATCTCTTTGATAACAAGAGCTTGGTACAGTTCCAGATCCCGTGAAATTTTTGTCAGGAGATACTCCAACGACATTACAACACAATGGGACTTTCTAACTCATGTGTGTGTTGTATGCTATTATCTTCAAGATGAGACTACCTAATAATAATAAGAAGAAGAATAACAAGAGACATGTCGTTCTATACTTACGACTCCTTGAAATTGTAGTTAATCTAAACTCGACCGCAGTCCTGTCCGTAGACCAGTTCTCACTTTTCATTTCTTCATCAAGTACTCAATTTGTACCTAACGTCCACAAGACTAATGCGTCTTCTATATACATTACTCATTGCTGCAGCTGTCACCGTCGTCATCAGTATGGACACCTTAGCCGCTACGAACTCGAAGCCTGTTCAGGCAGATGACACTGTATATCGACGTTTGAGAGTTGACACCTCTGAAGACAACAATGTCGAAGAACGAACAATCTGGAGTACTATTACTGAGCAAATAAAACTACCGTGGCTTGAATCGCTCATAGCGCGCATTAAATCCAGGTTCGGTTCGCAGAGGATGGATTCTACCCCGCAAAGCACCCATGTCGGCAAAGTCGGTGCTGCCACGAAGATGGAGGAAAATAAACAACGTTTGCCGCAAGAAATACTTGAATTTATCATAGCTGCATTTAAAAACAATGTGGAACATATCCGTCTGGAAGATTTTGTATCAAATCAACGTTCTTCTCTCATTAGAACGTCAGATTGCGATATACAACAAGAAATATCCACATAATAAAGTGTCCCTTCACGAGATGTTACGCAAAACATACAAGCACAACGACATCATGTTAATTAATAAAGGACTCGACAGAAAATGGAGTGCGTACGTGGTGCGCAATGGGAACGACGTAGACTTAAGCCAAGTGATGAACTCCGGTAAACTCGTATCAGCTGTCAAGTCAGAGTATGGTCTTCATGTGGGTGCATTATACCACCAACATATTGAGCTACACATTGCTATACTAAAAAATATACTGCAAAGGGAGCCAAACACAGCCAATTTGCAGACAAAAATTACGCGCTTACTACAGCTACTAGACACATAGAAGAAAGTGTTAAGTGGCTTAGCCGCATTGCTTGGCTTCGTGCTGATAATGGAATGTGATTTCGTTGGCGGCTAAAATGTGTTGAATATATTATTGCTCTTATTGATCTTGTAAAGCTAGTTGTATGCTCTCGCGTTGCTCTTTGTGAGCGACGACACATTGTTTGGTCTGTTTTAGGTTTAAGACACATTAAGCTGCTAACGCACGTGCACGTGTCAAAAAATTCTGTAAGGCTACGCTAACCATTGATTCGCACCAATGTCTGTTTGTCCCCACGCGATCTCGTTTGCTTGCTCAACTCGCGACCATATACCTTTTCTAGTAATTGTAATGTACGCAAAGCATTCCGTAAGCAAGTTGCTTGTCCACCACATCTATAGCTGTACACCTTGTATGACCCATAATTGCCATGTCATTATACCATGGCTTGTTGCAAAAGCATTTGATCAGTTCCTATGCATCTTATGTCACCGATGGGCATGATATGCTGCGAGGCTACAAGTCTTTGTTCTAGTCCAGCTGCAAAATGCAACACACCTGACTTCACGGTCAGATTTGCTTGTAAATGTCTTCTTTTGTATAACTTACGTGCATCCTGATGCCACTTGAGTTCAATCGGTTACGAAGACATGATGACTATACTCATTGCACGCTCAACAACATTAACAAGACGGCTGTTGCATCCTATTCCTTCCTGTGCTAATAGCAACGACCACTGGCAATTTGCAGACTCCTAAAACGCAGTCTGACCGACCGAGTCGATTTTGAGGAATGAGTGCCTGACTTACGCTGCAGCTTTGAGTCGGAGCTCGCACTGAAGCAAAACCGCGACCATTTAAAGTTTTTTCTACGTTTTGAGTTATCGAGTTGAGTAATAATACTTACAGCAACTGCCTTCTTATTTGACGTCTGCTGTAGTTGACACTCACATTGTCGCTTGTGTAATTTGTTGTTGCCAACTCATAATCTTCGGTACACGAAGTCGCTTCCACTTTGTTGCCAAATACTTAAGAGACATGAATCTTGATCGCAGAGCTGTTGCTGGCTGCCGTTCGTGGGCCTTCTGCCAGTCTATCTTTTGCTGAACATTGGTGCGCCTTTGGCAGCCATACAATCAAATTTGCAGCGTATGCAAAATATCCGTGCACAGTCTGAACGCGTCTTCTACCGAGCCAACGCTGAAACGGCTGCATGGCAGCTCCTTGGACGCAGATTTGCTAGCACTGTTTACTTGATCCACGTAAATCCATAGTCCAAGCGCATCGTGCACTCTAAGCGGTATTTTGTTGTAGTCTTTGGTAGATGTGGGGCAGTTGAACTGGTAAACGTCGATACTTATGCGGCTCATGTTTGAATGTAGCCTTAGGTGCAGGTATTCATCGTAAGGAGGCCTGCAATGACGGATCCTGTCAATGAGGGCCTCGTACCTGGCATGCCGTTGACGTCATACCGGTCCTAGTAAAGGTCGTAGCAGTAGGAGAAATCCTGCGTGAAACAAAATATATTGTTAGGTAAGGTGCCAGTCGTGCATTCCGCACGGTAACAGATTACGCGGCGTAGCGCCAAGCTAGTTTGCCATCAGAATGTGACTTGGTCATCTTCAATCCGCAACATTTGGCCACAATGTAATCGCAGCACCACAATGGGTGTCATGTAGAAGTCACGAAAAGAACATGCAACTCCGTCACTGCACAGTAAGAAAGAACGCTTGATGTTTATTACAAGTTGGAAGTTCAAACCTACCAAAGAATGAGGTAATATTGATATAAAAAAAGCAGAACCAAACTGATCGCACGACACCGCCATGACGATCACATCTCATCAGATCTTCAATCAGCATTCTCTAATCCTCCTTGTCCTCGATCGTGAACTTGCCACGCTTGGCCATATAATCATGGAAAGCCATAGAGCTCAGTAGCAACACAACTACCGAAGCTTGGCCATAAATACGTGTGTGCATGATCTGCTGCGAAGGTGAAATGCCTTTGTTTAAGTGCTGATAGCTGTAGATACAACCAACTAGTGGTACACCCACCGTAACCAGAGCACGGTACGGGTGATCGTACAGAAAGTTGGCGCTTTCCTGCCAAAATTTGAGCTGCGACGCCTTCTTCTCCGGTGCCATATATGAGCCTCCTTCAAGTGTAGCCATATACATCTCGGGATTCCGAGCCCCGTGTATCAAACGGTTTTCAGCCACAATCGTAAAAGCGCCTAGAAATGGCGACACGACCAATGCCGTCTTACCGCTAACACCCAAACGGTTGCGAAATGCCGGCCAATATTTATTACTTAGACCCACCATGGCAGCAGCAAAGACGGCGGTAATGGCACCGGATTTTAACCCGCTCGTATAAGCGTGCCATGAAATGGCGTCACGCGCTTGATTTGGATTTCCCGTCTTCCATGACGAGTGTTCAGAGTTTGTATTAACTGGATTCATCCTATTAATGAATGAGTTGTGCTCGTTTTGGAGCTTTTGAGCTATTTGGACACATAATAAATAGCTCGTCGTGTTGGCTGATTGATTGATTGATTGATTGGATGCGTTTTTATTTGCAACAACTTGTACCTATTTTCCTAACTTTGAGGTATATAAAATAAGTAAGAGCTGACGTCTTTTGGTGGAATCACATCCTCAAAAATAACAACAAATGGCTGATGTTTGCTAGTTAAAGGTAACAGAATGGGTTAGATTTGTGAAAGAATCGGTTAGAACCGGGTTGGTGATGGAATATCGTTTGAATCAAGTTATTTCGCTGCATCTCTTTCTCTCTGAATGTTTCAAAGCAAAGGCCAGCGTTAGAAAGACATAGGATCGACGTTATAAACTTTACTATACTCTATTATGGATGACCTAGTCAAAATTTTTACTGCTGTTACACACATGACTGATTAATGGACGCCACGTTTTTTGCGGTTTCGACATAAATTTAGCCACTTGCTTTTCAAGTCGATTGCCACCTTGGGGCTATGAGATCATACGATGCAAATTTTGTTGGTCTATACAGTGTAGTTCGTAAAGTGTAATGCCATTGATAGGAAGGAAATGAGAACAGGACAATTCACACGAACTCAACTCGTCAGCTTCTAGAACCATGAGTGCAGCTTCATGGTGATTCTGCACGTGCTTCGTAGATTGATCAAGTTTTTTGATTGAAAAATGATATTGGCCGAATGCCTTGACGTGGCGTAGTCAACGACGAGTATCGTATACAAACGGTAACGCGATAATGAGAAAAACGAGGAAGACGCAATGTTTTACTTTTAATGCACTGAAAGAAGGAGTGAGTGATCCATTGGTGACCTTCGAGATCAGCCATACAATGCACGAGATTTTGTCTTCATGTTATCGGGTGGTTCAGCTTTATTCGATCTTAGGCCTCAAACAATTTTGGTTGATGATGTGGTGTAGTTCTTAATACCCTGTGTATGTCGATCATTCGCTTGGATCATTTTGGTGCTGATATTGAGTATCAAAAGCTGCGAATCAAACCTGTGAAAGCTAACTCCATCTCAAGTGTCATAAATTGTCATAGGTCAAGCAGATGTGACAGTTTTTGACGCACGTCGCTCGATGACATGACGTCCTGCTATCGCAAACGAATTCCAAATGAAAAGTACATTAGGAATCTCATTGTTCGATTTCGCTTCATATGCAACACCCAAAGTCTCTTTCAAAAAACTCAAGTACATCCGACCATGATGATTCCTTCAGTTCATCGTTAAATGTCCGTGTTTCGGTCGACTCAAACGCGTCTCAAATGCCAATAACGTCGACCACGACCACCAATGACTTTTATGTGGATTTACAATCTCCACCGCCTCAATCACAGTCCATGCGCTTACGTCTTCGAAAACAACGAGCATCGAGTAATTTGTCCTTATCTCATGCAGCAGCTGAAAATCTCCGTCGACGAGTCGCTCGTGTAAAAAAGAACAAGCATCCAAAGGAGATGCGAGTGTTTAAACGTCGTCTACAACTAGCGGTGCGCATTGCAGTCGGCGTTTTGCTCGCTGGTCTAGTGCAAACCCGTGGAACTGGTCGAGAATGGCTTCTTCTACCATCGAGTTATTACCTCGGAGGCCTCACGGTCGCTTCTATGATGGTCATTTACGCTGCCTCTAATACGGTCGGTGGCGTGCTGGAACAAGTGTGGCAGATTGATGTGGGTGTTGCCATTGCTCTGCTGTATAATTTTGTCGTATTTGCGTGTGTCCCGTTATCCCAAGACAACCTTATGACTGTCTCTAAGAACCTCAACGGTAGTATGTACTACGTTAGTCTGCAAGACTGGAGCGTCACTCTTCCATTGCTCGCACTCTTTACACTCGTAGTACTACTGTCACCTATTGTATGTTAAAATGCACATTGCGTGTTGTGGTGCTCATGATGGACTTACGTGATTGTTGGGATTGCTGTGTGGTGTTCTAGCAAACAAACGTGAAAAAAATTTGCTGTGAGCACAAATTTATATTTCAGTACGTTCTACACTAGTTATGAAACAGTTTGTAGTAGTGTGGTGATACGATGACGAGTTATGATTCTATGGTTTGTGTTTACTTGTTGCAGCATTGACACTTGTCAACCCTATGAATCCGATCTTTACGACAGCGCTCAAGGACAACTCAGATGGTAACAGTTATTACGGCACGAAGAATTTGCTTAAACAGCTAGCCATCTACAGCGCTGTGGGCGTTGTTGGCACTTTGATAGCGCTCGTAATCATGGTACTCCCTTATCCGATTTTGTACGTTTACACAAAACCAACGATTGCTGCTATATCATTGCTATGAGACTTACCATTGTCATGTTAGTGCCATGCGAAAATTGCGGAGGCATATGGCTGCGTCGCCACATGATATCCGTGACATTTTGAACTTGATAGTCGATTCATATTGCTTTCGTGCCAAAGATATTAAGAAAATGGATTTCTTCAAGCTGAGGCTTGACCGACTACTCGAGAATGCACATGAGCGTTTGGAGACTATGGAGTCACTATTGAATGACTGCTGGTGGGAAGAACTTGTAGGTCTCGGTACTTGCTTTCACTTCAACAAGACGGTGGCTAAGCAGCTTGTAAACTTATACGGCAAGCTCCTTGCAGACTTGCATTCAATGAAGTTTGCCATTGAGGCGGAGACATGTCACTGGACACACGTCGTGCTGCTTAAGAAGATGCAAACGCAGTTCTACGTGCTGCAAATTGAAGCGAATGACTTGCTTGAGGACATCTCGCTCGAGATCGTTCGTTCGTCGCGATGTAAGTACTTCTTCTTTTCTTCCGTATCTCATGTAGCTAACAAGTTTTTCTTGCTTGGTTTGGGCATTTGCCAGGTATGTCCTCACCAAAATTTGCCAGGCTTAAGCAGGCAATCGAACAGCTTATGGAAAAGTACACGACCCTCTACGGCAACTTGCTTTCAGCCGATGTACACACAGCAGATGATGTGGGCAAGACGATGCCGCTAAACGTGTTTGTGTACTCATTTCACGTATTTGTGATCTCGTTGCTAGATTTTGAAGGCACTTTCAACCGAAAGAATTTCTCGGCACGATACCGAGTCAAAAACTTTCTCAAGCTAGCATATCAAAGTCTGCTTCACTCTACAAACTACCCGCGCCGTCTTATTATCTTCGCATTTCGGACGACACTGGCAATTATAATCGGAGTTTGCTGCGCAACTTTCATCTTCGCTTTCAGTTCTACTGCGCCTACAGCCATCGCAATGGTCGCTGAAGATAATATTGGCGGTACCTACAGCAATACGGTCAACCGCGTCGGAGGTTTGGTGGCTGGAACAGTGCTACCGTCGATCTTCAGCTTCTTCGTGTGCACAGTGGCAGACGATGATGTGTACCATACGCTAAACAACATCGTGTTGTTCGTGTGGACTGCTGGGTCCATGTACGTATGGTTTTGTGGCCGCTATATGGCACTGGCAGGAATGACGTCAGCTTTTATGGCTGCGTCGGTGTTGCTCGATCACAGTTGCCGAAACACATCGTCCTCACCGACGGTGTCATACGCAAGTCTCACTCAGAACGCCCTAGGCATTTTGATTTTGATGGTCGTGGAAGTTGTAATTTGCCCTCGCAGCTCGCGTGGTCTACTTCGTAGCAATATCCAGCAGTTATTGAAGCAGTATCGCGAAATCTTTCACAAAGTATTTCGTCATCACATTGCGAGCAACCGTCCAGTAAGTATTTCCACAGGACAGCTTACTGAAGAGGACATAGAGACAGCCAATGCTCTGCTTGGTCGCAGTCAGATCAGGGCGTTGAAACACCAAATGAAGACCGCGATTCCTGAGCTGCTGAAGACTCAAGCGAAACTTGTAGACGGGTCTACCATGGAGCCAACGTTGTGGAAGCCGCCATTCTCTACGTCCAAGTACACGAAAGTTTTGGGTGTATGCCGCGAACTCCTCGATCAGATAGATGCTCTTGTGGATCTCATGGACTGGCACGATAATCGTCGAAACAGCGGAAAAGACAAGCTTTTACGACGTTGGCACCAAAGCCGGATTGACGCTGAATGCACTGCAGCCTTCACAGCAGCACAGGAACCTCCTTCTCCGACTTCAGCAGCCGTCTTAGAAATGGTGGGTGAGGAAAGCGTAACGATTGAAAACTCTTCATTACCACAATCTCCGTCCTCGCCGCTGCCCAACGTAACTACGACGTCGCCTGCTGTGGCAAAAATTAAGTGGGACCAAAGCTTGGCAGTTGTGGAAGTTGGCATCGTAGAAGCCTTTGACACGTTGGCGACCTTGTTCGGAGATGAGTTTTCAGGTTCAACCGCTGAAGATCACGCGATCTACTTGCAGATGAAAGAAGCCTTTCGTATTGCTGATGTGCACCGTCGCGGTGTAGTCGATGTCTCGGAGCTCGGCATTTTGCTTGAAAAGCTCATGCCGTACGCTGGCAGCCAAGGCATTGAAGGAATGGAGCAATATGTGGATGAATTCATGCAATTAGTGGACAAGGACAATGACGGCAAAATTTCGTTTTGCGAATTCATGCAGGCGCTAAACGAAGGATTCCGACTGGAGCTCGAGATCTACGACGATCAGCCGCAAGTTCCGATAGCGGACGTGATGACTGGGTCCAATGACGCACATTTTGCTCACTCCAATAGCATTCGCTTACTTCGCAAGAGTACACATCGCCGTAACTCTCTCCAACCAATGGAACCAGGCAAAGTCGAAGATCCCCAAAAAGACGTAACTATTGATTTGCCATCACCTCCGGAAGACTCTCGTCCCCGACGATCATCCAATTTTGTCGACATAGTAGCTTTCAAGACATCAAATCCCACATCTACCGTTTTGAATGATGCGAAACCCATGATGACGAATATTCGTCGAAGAAACCGCTTTCGCGGTTTGTCGTCAGCAAGCGAAAGTTCTGCACCTGAAGCGTTACTTAACGTAGAGGCTTTTACACTTAAAGAAGCTGCAATGGCTTTGAAACAAAGCTATGGGGAGTGTTTGTTGGGATACGTAGACGACCACAACAAACGCGTAACGATGGAGGAATTTATTCTCATGAGCTGCGTCATCAGTGCATGTGAAAAAATTGCCGAGAATTTGACGCGTTTGAACAAACTCGCAGCTTCCTAAATGACGTTTAATAGCTCAAGTAACATCATGAATGGACACATGAACATTTTCAATTTGCCTCGTAGACAGTGAGGAAGACTTACAGTAGCTAGCTTTAAATTGCTCTTTCGATTCCATCCGCTCGGATAGCGGCAGATTTTGTGTTCATTCCTCCCAGTTCACCAAACGTGAACGTGTCGCAAATAAAAACGCACCCAATCAATCAATCAATCAATCAGCCAACACGACGAGCTATTTATTATGTGTCCAAATAGCTCAAAAGCTTCAAAACGAGCACAACTCATCATTCATTAATAGGATGAATCCAGTTAATACAAACTCTGAACACTCGTCATGGAAGACGGGAAATCCAAATCAAGCGCGTGACGCCATTTCATGGCACGCTTATACGAGCGGGTTAAAATCCGGTGCCATTACCGCCGTCTTTGCTGCTGCCATGGTGGGTCTAAGTAATAAATATTGGCCGGCATTTCGCAACCGTTTGGGTGTTAGCGGTAAGACGGCATTGGTCGTGTCGCCATTTCTAGGCGCTTTTACGATTGTGGCTGAAAACCGTTTGATACACGGGGCTCGGAATCCCGAGATGTATATGGCTACACTTGAAGGAGGCTCATATATGGCACCGGAGAAGAAGGCGTCGCAGCTCAAATTTTGGCAGGAAAGCGCCAACTTTCTGTACGATCACCCGTACCGTGCTCTGGTTACGGTGGGTGTACCACTAGTTGGTTGTATCTACAGCTATCAGCACTTAAACAAAGGCATTTCACCTTCGCAGCAGATCATGCACACACGTATTTATGGCCAAGCTTCGGTAGTTGTGTTGCTACTGAGCTCTATGGCTTTCCATGATTATATGGCCAAGCGTGGCAAGTTCACGATCGAGGACAAGGAGGATTAGAGAATGCTGATTGAAGATCTGATGAGATGTGATCGTCATGGCGGTGTCGTGCGATCAGTTTGGTTCTGCTTTTTTTATATCAATATTACCTCATTCTTTGGTAGGTTTGAACTTCCAACTTGTAATAAACATCAAGCGTTCTTTCTTACTGTGCAGTGACGGAGTTGCATGTTCTTTTCGTGACTTCTACATGACACCCATTGTGGTGCTGCGATTACATTGTGGCCAAATGTTGCGGATTGAAGATGACCAAGTCACATTCTGATGGCAAACTAGCTTGGCGCTACGCCGCGTAATCTGTTACCGTGCGGAATGCACGACTGGCACCTTACCTAACAATATATTTTGTTTCACGCAGGATTTCTCCTACTGCTACGACCTTTACTAGGACCGGTATGACGTCAACGGCATGCCAGGTACGAGGCCCTCATTGACAGGATCCGTCATTGCAGGCCTCCTTACGATGAATACCTGCACCTAAGGCTACATTCAAACATGAGCCGCATAAGTATCGACGTTTACCAGTTCAACTGCCCCACATCTACCAAAGACTACAACAAAATACCGCTTAGAGTGCACGATGCGCTTGGACTATGGATTTACGTGGATCAAGTAAACAGTGCTAGCAAATCTGCGTCCAAGGAGCTGCCATGCAGCCGTTTCAGCGTTGGCTCGGTAGAAGACGCGTTCAGACTGTGCACGGATATTTTGCATACGCTGCAAATTTGATTGTATGGCTGCCAAAGGCGCACCAATGTTCAGCAAAAGATAGACTGGCAGAAGGCCCACGAACGGCAGCCAGCAACAGCTCTGCGATCAAGATTCATGTCTCTTAAGTATTTGGCAACAAAGTGGAAGCGACTTCGTGTACCGAAGATTATGAGTTGGCAACAACAAATTACACAAGCGACAATGTAGAAGTCAAATAAGAAGGCAGTTGCTGTAAGTATTATTACTCAACTCGATAACTCAAAACGTAGAAAAAACTTTAAATGGTCGCGGTTTTGCTTCAGGGCGAGCTCCGACTCAAAGCTGCAGCGTAAGTCAGGCACTCATTCCTCAAAATCGACTCGGTCGGTCAGACTGCGTTTTAGGAGTCTGCAAATTGCCAGTGGTCGTTGCTATTAGCACAGGAAGGAATAGGATGCAACAGCCGTCTTGTTAATGTTGTTGAGCGTGCAATGAGTATAGTCATCATGTCTTCGTAACCGATTGAACTCAAGTGGCATCAGGATGCACGTAAGTTATACAAAAGAAGACATTTACAAGCAAATCTGACCGTGAAGTCAGGTGTGTTGCATTTTGCAGCTGGACTAGAACAAAGACTTGTAGCCTCGCAGCATATCATGCCCATCGGTGACATAAGATGCATAGGAACTGATCAAATGCTTTTGCAACAAGCCATGGTATAATGACATGGCAATTATGGGTCATACAAGGTGTACAGCTATAGATGTGGTGGACAAGCAACTTGCTTACGGAATGCTTTGCGTACATTACAATTACTAGAAAAGGTATATGGTCGCGAGTTGAGCAAGCAAACGAGATCGCGTGGGGACAAACAGACATTGGTGCGAATCAATGGTTAGCGTAGCCTTACAGAATTTTTTGACACGTGCACGTGCGTTAGCAGCTTAATGTGTCTTAAACCTAAAACAGACCAAACAATGTGTCGTCGCTCACAAAGAGCAACGCGAGAGCATACAACTAGCTTTACAAGATCAATAAGAGCAATAATATATTCAACACATTTTAGCCGCCAACGAAATCACATTCCATTATCAGCACGAAGCCAAGCAATGCGGCTAAGCCACTTAACACTTTCTTCTATGTGTCTAGTAGCTGTAGTAAGCGCGTAATTTTTGTCTGCAAATTGGCTGTGTTTGGCTCCCTTTGCAGTATATTTTTTAGTATAGCAATGTGTAGCTCAATATGTTGGTGGTATAATGCACCCACATGAAGACCATACTCTGACTTGACAGCTGATACGAGTTTACCGGAGTTCATCACTTGGCTTAAGTCTACGTCGTTCCCATTGCGCACCACGTACGCACTCCATTCTCTGTCGAGTCCTTTATTAATTAACATGATGTCGTTGTGCTTGTATGTTTTGCGTAACATCTCGTGAAGGGACACTTTATTATGTGGATATTTCTTGTTGTATATCGCAATCTGACGTTCTAATGAGAGAAGAACGTTATTTGATACAGAATCTTCCAGACGGATATATTTCACATCGTTTTTAAAATCAGCTATGATAAATTCAAGTATTTCTTGCGGCAAACGTTGTTTATTTTCCTCCATCTTCGTGGCAGCACCGACTTTGCCGACATGGGTGCTTTGCGGGGTAGAATCCATCCTCTGCGAACCGAACCTGGATTTAATGCGCGCTATGAGCGATTCAAGCCACGGTAGTTTTATTTGCTCAGTAATAGTACTCCAGATTGTTCGTTCTTCGACATTGTTGTCTTCAGAGGTGTCAACTCTCAAACGTCGATATACAGTGTCATCTGCCTGAACAGGCTTCGAGTTCGTAGCGGCTAAGGTGTCCATGCTGATGACGACGGTGACAGCTGCAGCAATGAGTAATGTATATAGAAAGACGCATTAGTCTTGTGGACGTTAGGTACAATTTGGGTACTTGATGAAGAAATGAAAAGTGAGAACTGGTCTACCGACAGGACTGCGGTCAAGTTTAGATTAACTACAATTTCAAGGAGTCGTAAGTATAGAACGACCGACACACAAACATGTCTCTTGTTATTCTTCTTCTTATTATTATTAGGTAGTCTCATCTTGAAGATAATAGCATAAAACACACACATGAGTTAGAAAGTCCCATTGTGTTGTAATGTCGTTGGAGTATCTCATGACAAAAATTTCACGGGATCTGGAACTGGACCAAGCTCTTGTTTTCAAAGAGACGTTGTTCTATCATCGTATCATCGTCATGCACGTCGAGAACCCAATTATCGTGACATACTTCCATTCACTTACGAACAAGTGCCCATCCCTCACTGGTCTACCTGCGCCATGTTATCGGGTTAATTCTCTTTCTTACTACCTTGTCGTGTCACATGACATACATTTCTCCGTCAGAAAACCCGTGCGTTAACGTATTGCAGATTGTTATATCGTCTTCCGTCTCATTCAGTGTTAGAAGCAAATACGTAGTAGACGAAGTCCGAGACAACTAACTTTCCACGGTCGCTGCGTTTCGTGATGGATTCAATGTGATCCTGGACAATATCAGATACCACTTCTTGCAATCGCATCTTTTATCGCTGCAGTTTACTCTCCGTAAAAGTGCAGAAGCAAGCCTTTTTGCGTATTCTCGAGAAACTGAGCAACGCACGATTGGCAGTTTGCAGCAGCATTGAGGTTGTGCGAAGTACTCGATGCATGAAGTGCGACATTAACAGGAGAGGCTCCATCTTCACCGTCGAGCAAGGTCAACTTTAAGTCACTCGTGCTGTTAGTGAGGAAAAATATCGTCGTAAACTCCAATCGCAAAACAGTAATGCGCAAAGGCGCTTGTGCATTTAACTGTTCCTGCAGCATAAAAAACACCTGTGAAAAGTCCACGGCGTCATATTCTAAAACTGTATCCAGCGACACGACATCAAACACACGTCAGCACGACCTTGTACGGTAAGTTGTTCTGTACACTTTTGCATTAACATCATCGCTTACCTATTACATGACGCCGTAGTTCTGCAATAAAATCTTTTCGTTTCCTCCACTGCTGTAAAAACATCTACACGATTTGACCCTAATCAGCATCAAACAAAACATATGAGACTAACAAAATACAGGAGCATATAATTACCTCTCTGCATGAAGCAATCAGCTCAATGGAAGATGTCGCCTCACTTGACAATGGAAATTGTGTCACTTGACTCGACAACCGAAGTATTTCAGGCCATTCAATGACTAGTGGCCACATGCCATCAACATTCTCCTCAACATCATCCTGCATAGGATATCCAATGAAAATTGTCGGTCCGTTTGTCGTGACAGAAAAATTAGATCCAATAAAGCCATCGGGAATGTACATGGAATTCAATCTTTTCTTCTCAAGCAAACCTGTCGACTCGCATGGCAGGTTTTCCACAAGCAATGGGAGTGTAAAAACCACAAAAGAGCCACCAAATTTCTGTCTCTTTAACACTAAAACTTCCAGCTCTGGAACATGCTGCAATAGTTCATACTCGAACTTTGCTCGTAACGATTCGGACGTCAGTAAAATCTACACAAAATCAACAAATATACACGAATAGAATACCATCAAGAATGTAATTTATTCAAGACTCAAAAAAACAACGAGATTGTGTAAGATAAATAAATTTCGTACCTGTACTTGCATGGTTTTGAAAGCTTTTACATGTCGCTGGATAATGTCTTGCAAGAGTTTTGTCAATGCTTCATCAGTCAACACGGACAACTCTTCACGATTTATTTGATTCATTTGAATCGTTTCAACTTGCTGGAAGGTAATGAATGGCTCGTCATGTAGCATTCTCATTGAAACTTGAGGAATTTGAGCATCGTTATTGAAATCGTTAGTTAAGAATACACTTAAATAAATGACTTGAAATTTATTTGACATAATATATGTAGAACATGACAGAAAAAAAGACATACGCAATTATACAATTAATATAATCCAATCCACCAATTATTGTTTTTTGTTACCTTGCCAAACCTCTCAAATACGATATCTACCTTGACAATAAAATTGGCCATTACTTGTCCAAATGCTCACGTGTATCGCCAGCCAAGCGTTACATGCGTATAAAACCTCAACTACACCAGTGAATAGGGTTCGAGTGTTTATGGTACTTAATGTCGTGCTATTACTCTTAGTCCGGATAGTATTAGAGAATGTTGGATTAACTAATGGAAACTCAGCGATGCGGATGTTGCGTCTACAGCAATGTATGAGGCGCCTCATCACGTGACGTTGGTCGTTAGAAGACTGCATGTCAGTTACTAACTTGATTATTAATTTGCAGTTAAAACAAACCAGATGGGGAATAGATGGACGTTTTACACATTGGAATACCAAAACACGGTCATAATGTTGGCATCAGATTACAAAACAAGCACCAAGATTTCATGTCACATGTGCTTACCATTTCCATGTTCTTACCTTGTTTTATCAATTGACTCTAGGTTGTTGCTCCTGTGAAACTCAATAAGACAGTATGTCTATTATATTTCACAGGTAAAGAGGAGTGGAGCCGGGGAGGGAGGGGGAGGGAAAAGGAAGAAAACACGACTGACTGAGTGACGGAGAGTGCAAGTGCTGGACAGACGGCTATAAATTACGTGGTTTGGTGAATTATTATAAAGACAAACGAAAAAGTGTCTTGTTGTTATATTTTCTACATTCGATAGAAAGAATCTCGTGGTCTTCTAGTGTCTCTCGCTTTCTCTCTCTCTGTGTGAGTTGATTCTCTCTTCTCTCTTCTTCTTCTTCTTTTATTCCCTCTTGAATTTGATTATCACTTTGTTTCCAAACTACTTGAGCTTATTATTGAAGCAATGAAGGGAATGCTACAAACAGTTAAACGAAAACTTAGTACAAACGGAGAGCACATGAGTTTAAATTCTCCTGATCAAATGGATGTTGATGGGAAAGGTACAAATAAGAATCATGGCATTGGATCTCCTATTACTACTACTTTAGGTGAGAGTACAACTAGTACTACTACTAGTAGTAGTAGTAATAGTGGTGGTGGTGTACGTTCCGATATGTCATTGCCAAAACGTGAACGACGTCGCTCCTTTATGGCGAGAAATCAAAAGATTCAAGCATTAAAAGATTTACCACATTTGAAAGACACGTCATTACAACGACGAGAAGTTTTGTTTCAACAAAAACTTGAGCTCTGTTCAGTTATTTTTAATTTTGATGACTTGACGTCGGATAAACGGTGAGGCTTTTCTTCTTCTTCTTCTTCTTTATCTTGTAATTTAGATGTGGCAAATATGTAGGTTTGTTCTTGTTTGATTAATTGATTGATTAACGAAATGTGCATATGGATCTATCTATCCATCTATTGTAGTGGAAAGGATTTAAAGCGTCAGACACTTTTGGAACTTGTAGATTATGTCAATAATCCTGGTGGTCAAAAGATCTTTACCGAATCACTGATGCCAGATATTATGGCCATGGTATCTGTCAATATTTGCCGTGCATTGCCCCCACAGACTGAAGATTTTGATCCAGAGGAAGATGAACCTGTGCTAGAAGCTTCGTGGCCACATCTTCAAGTGGTGTATGAATTTTTTCTTCGTTTTATCGTATCGGGCGAGGTAAACGCAAAGGTTGCGAAGAAGTACGTTGATCAGAAGTTTTGTCTCTCGATTATTGACCTTTTTGACAGCGAAGACCCGCGTGAACGAGATTATCTCAAGACCATTTTGCATCGCATTTACGGCAAATTTATGTCGCACCGATCATTTATTCGCAAGGCCATCAGTAACGTCTTTTACCGTTTCGTGTACGAGACAGAACGACACAACGGCGTGGGTGAGCTCTTAGAGATCCTGGGCAGTATCATCAACGGCTTTGCCATGCCTCTGAAAGCCGAACACTTGCAGTTTTTAGTGCGCGCGCTCGTACCACTGCATAAACCAAAGTGCGTATCAATGTACCACCAACAGCTTTCCTATTGCATCACGCAGTATGTAGAAAAGGACCCCGACACAGCAGTGCCTATCATTCAGGGTATCATCAAGTTCTGGCCGTGGTCGTGCTCATCAAAGCAAGTAATTTTCCTGAACGAGTTGGAGGAGATTCTGGAGCTTATGGGCAGCGAACAGCTTCAGCAGGTGCATAAGCCGCTTTTTAATGGCTTGGCCAAGTGGCTTGGTAGCCAGCACTTCCAGGTTTCGGAGAGGTCACTGTTCCTATGGAACAATGAACACCTTGTGAACAATGGTTGTTTAAGTAAACAGCACGCGCATTTGATTCTGCCAGTCATTTACGGCCCTCTTCATAGAAACTCGCTGGGACACTGGAACACTACAGTTGAAGGACTTGCTCAGGTAAAATTGGTCACGCTCGGTTTAGTTAGCTGTCATTCGTCGATTGCTCACTGACTGTTGCTGTTTTGTGTTGTTAAGAACGTGTTGAAGCTCTATATGGACTATGACATGGCTTTATATGATCAATGCGCAAAGGAATACTTGCTGAAAGAAAAAGCCATGGCTGAAAACAAGGACAGAGAGCAAGAGAAGTGGCGAAAAATAGAGTCGATGGCAGCATCAAAGGCTCCATCGTCAACGGCCTAGTTTCCAAGCGGATCGCGGCACCTTCATACGTGGAAAGCCAGCGAACAAAATAACAGCTAACGATATGGATGACCAAGTGTGTGGAGAACGATGGGGACGGAATGGCGAAAAACCACAACAAGGCTGGGTTTCTGGCGTCTCGGCAATGGACGAAGGCCGCTGACGGCGTTAAGCCTATTACGGCCATGAGTTGTCATAGCTTTGCGACCCATTTCAGAACTTTCACTCTTGAGCACGGGCGAATAGCAGATGGCAGACAGACAGACAGATAGGTTTTCATAAACGGTGATTGCATTTAGATGATGGACAGCTGCGTTTGCGGGTGGCGAACATGCACAAGTGCAAATCAGGTGAACTTTTGCATGTCTGAGTTTCTATTGTTGCAATATCGTTGCCAGTCATTCTTTCAAGATGTGGGCCACTTCATTTTATTTATCGGTAAATAATTAAGTGGCTCACATATGCAGTACATAAAGTATACATAGAACTACTCTCCACCACCGAAGCAAAGCCCACATAAAAGCCCACAAATGATGCGCGTGTGGCTTCGTCCGTGCGCGTCTGCAATTGCTGGTGCGTCGATGCTTTTCTCTAGTGTCTACACATTGTAATAACCTCACGAAGTGTTTGTTAATTTTGTATCTTGTGTTAGTTTCCTCGCCACTCCGTCGTTGTATTGCTTCAAACATAAAGAATGGCGTGCTCCAAGCGCAGATCTTTCCACATACATTGACTGTATATAATGATTCTTTGCTTGTAATTGGTGGTATTCGCTCTATGGTGACTAAAGGAAAAGATGATAATAAGAAGGGTAAGTGGCTTATAATATTTGTATATAGAGTGGTAGAGAGAGAGCTAAGTGTGCATGCATGAGGTGGTTTTTCTAGAGCTTAAGAAGAAAAAGTCAATGTTTGAAAAGGTTGAGGAGATTGAAGATTTAACAGAATTGCCAGATGAAGTCAAGTACTTGAGTCAGGAGCTAAGTGAGGACAAGTTTGAGGTGATGGAAGAACTAGGTGAGGAAGAAGAAGACGATGAAGACGATGAAGATGCTGACCTTAGTCCTGCCAATTGGGCCAAAAAGTTTGAGCAAGATGTAGCAGAGTGGGATCAGGAAGAAAATGCGTATTATGATGACGACGACGTTGCTAATGCTTCGATAGTGTCGGACATTGAAGACGACCGACTGTATGTTGAAATGCCTGGATTCGATGCATCACTTAGTCTTGCGGAGAGTCAGATTGGAGTGAACGAGAATAAAGGCGTACCAGACCCATTCCAGCACTGGGACCAAGGCATGGCGTAAGTTACTTTATTTTGCTAATTATGATACATAGACTTGGTTGATAAACTTGCGTTTGTCACATTGGTTGCTTCAGTATTTCCCCGGAGATGCTAAATTGGATGTTGCCTGCTGACAAGAGGAAGCCATTCAAAAAGGATAAGACGAAGCCGTGGAAGTATTTTGTGGCGGCCAATCACCCCGATGTAGTAGAGCTGGCGCTTGATGTGGACCTATTACGTCTTTTCATTTCGCCAACTGGACGCATTCGTCCTCGTCGGTTTACTGGTCTGACAGCCAAGCAACAGCGCAAGCTAGCACGAGCAATTAAAATTTCTCGTCAACTCGCATTGCTGCCGTATCTGTCACGGTACCCGGAGCCGACGCCTGAGCAGTGGAAAGCTATCGACGACGAAATCATTGCGGCCGCTGAGCTTGAGGATGACAACGATGATGTAGACGACGACGACGATGAGGACTTTGATGAGGACTTTGAGTATGATTAAAAATAGAGAAAGGTGAGTGACCGACACGGACTGTCCACAATTGTGCTAACAGTCATGATCGTCAAAAAAACGTAGAAAAAGCAGATTGAACGTTAGTGTGTTTGTTGTGCTTCTTCCTAGCTGTACAACGCAGCTTATTTAAGCGTTAGCACCAGCGTAGCCATCAGTACCAGACGCTTTACGCTTTGCAGTGACCTTCAATGTCTGATTGTGCCTGAGTTTTTGTCTTGGCAAAAAAATACAAGAGACAATGAACATTAACGCAGTTTTTGGGCTGCTGCTTCACACTACTGCACGTTATCAAAACGATATGACATTGATTTATGGGAAGGCAAGAGGTACGTTGAAATGAAATACGACTGAAAAGTAAGCTAGTCAATTACAAGAACCTATAGGCCTGCCTTGAGATCCTCATTCATTTTTCAGTCACACATGCCGTACACTAGACGCCGTTTGCTTTCGTAAGAGATGACTTGCTTCTTCTGCTCTGCATTTGCAAACCGAGTAACTTATTCGTCAAGCTCGGCCGCCAAGGCAGCAGCCTTTGCCTTTACCTCCTCGATGCCGCCAACCATGTAAAAGGCAGCCTCCGGAAGATCGTCGTAGTTGCCGGCAATGATGTCCTTGAACGACGAAATCGTGTCCACAAGTGGCACGAATTTGCCCGGCTTGCCCGTAAACACCTCAGCAACGTGCAAAGGCTGCGACATAAACTTTTGCACTTTACGGGCACGAGCCACGGTGAGCTTGTCGTCTTCCGACAGCTCATCCATACCAAGAATGGCAATAATGTCCTGCAGACCCTTGTAGTCCTGCAGCAGCTTCTGAGTAGCACGGGCCACGTCGTAGTGCTCCTGACCGATAATACGGGGGTCAAGCATACGCGACTTGGAGTCGAGAGGGTCCACAGCCGGGTAGATACCCAGCTCGGAAATCTGACGCGATAGCACGGTCGTAGCGTCCAAATGGGAGAACGTTGTGGCCGGAGCAGGGTCCGTAAGGTCATCAGCCGGCACATAAATAGCCTGCACCGAGGTAATGGAGCCCTTCTTGGTTGAGGTAATTCGCTCCTGCAGCGCACCAAGATCCGTCGCCAGCGTCGGCTGGTAGCCCACAGCAGACGGAATACGACCTAGCAGAGCCGACACCTCTGAGCACGCTTGAGTAAAACGGAAAATGTTGTCAACGAAAAGCAACACATCCTGGCCTTCCACATCACGGAAGTACTCGGCAACAGTTAGACCAGTCAGACCGACACGGGCACGAGCTCCAGGAGGCTCGTTCATTTGGCCATACACAAGAGCAGCCTTAGAACCAGTTGTCGTGCCATCGTCATTAATCTTAATCACACCCGATTCAATCATCTCATAGTATAGATCATTACCCTCACGTGTACGTTCACCAACACCAGCAAACACCGAGACACCACCGTGGTTATTGGCAACATTGTTAATCAATTCCATAATCACAACCGTTTTACCAACACCAGCACCACCAAAAAGACCAATTTTACCGCCTTTAGCGTATGGAGCCAATAGATCCACAACTTTCATACCCGTGACCAAAATCTCCGCACCTGATCCCTGCTCGGTTAATAGAGGAGCTGATGTATGAATAGGAGCATGACGCTTAGCGTTAATAGGTCCACGTTCATCAACTGATTCGCCAATTACGTTCATAATACGTCCAAGCGTTTCGGGACCCACTGGAACCTATACATTCAATAGATTACCAAATGGTTATCATCAATATACGTAATATATATATTTCTTACAATATCGATATATCTATTACGTAAAGAGTATAAAACACAACTTGACATAATGGTATAATATACGTATACTAAATAACGTACCATAATCGGATTACCCGTATCCACACATTCTTGACCACGTACAAGACCGTCCGTACCTTCCATTGCAATAGTACGCACCGTATTCTCACCTAAATGTTGCGCAACTTCCAATACAATACGTGTATTGTCTTGAGTTTTAATTTCCAAAGCATTTAGAATTGGTGGTAGATTATCTTTAAATTGAACGTCTACAACAGCACCAATAATTTGTGTGATTTGACCCACTGAAGCAGTTGGTGCTTTCTTGGCATCAGTTGCCATACAACGCACACTACGTATCGCAGAACGTCCTACACGAGATAACATACTTGTGAAACTGAGCTACTTCTTTTATTAAACGGATTGAATCAACTGCTCCCGTTTACGGCTGAAAGCAGAAATGAATGAACGAACGAGAGCCGAGGGAGCGATCTGGAAGGGGGAGCCAATGACGACCACACATGCCATGTCACTTGATATTTGTATGGATAAAGGAAGGGGTGAACAAACAGTTTTTTTTGGTTTGAACGACTACGTAACGTACTTAGTAGACGTACTTAGTAGACGTACTTAGTAGGAAGGTTCGGAGCAATTATTGAATGTTGCAAAGGTGCCAACAGTTATTATTTATAAGATACTACAATTATATTGGGGTACGGAAATGTGGGTTTTTTTTTTGACCCCAGGCTCAGCAAAACCGACTTGCAGCAGGCACTTGATTCGGCAACTGCAATTGAACTCGTTTTAGGAAATTATTACAATAAAAATCTGAGGACTTGGTCGAATAAATGCAAAAAGGCTAGAGAAAATGTAAAAATGCGACGCGCGCACAAGACAATGGCAGCGGTTGAGACGAGTGTTGCTTGCACAACACTGTCCATGTCCAGGTCAACCAGTACAGCCAACAAGCTTATCTACCTGTATCACCACCATCAGTCAGTAAGTAGATCATTTGCAAATCCGGACAAATTCCTCTCGCTCGCCACAACTCCTCACTTCCGCTGCCGTCCACAGTCGAGTGTAGTGGCGTAGCTATATCGCTCTACATGTCATCAATCGGTGGTAGCATTGACTGGCTTCATGTGCTTCTTTCACATCAGTCCTTGCGCCTGCAAGCGGTGTTCTAAGGCTGTCCACTTGAGCTGGCGTTGTTCCGTCGTCTGCTGCGCCCTGAAGAACATAAAAGCACAAGGATGCTGTATTAAATCATGTTTCTAAGTGCAGGCGGCTGAGGAAGCTTGTTGAACAAAGCGTCTGCCTATACAAACAACAGGACTAGAAGTACAGCATGATGGTATGCTTGCTCACCTTCCTTCGCGCTCTTCAAACTGTGCCGAGCACTGATCAAAGAGCTGAGAGTCCATTTCCATGAAAAGCTTAAGCACGTTATACGTCAACGTTTGCACGGTATTGTGCCAGTGGTTTTCGCAGTTACGGTACAGTGCCCCGAATATTAACGGGAGAATCTCGGTCCGTCGCGCGCTCACAAGCCGTACAAGCGCCTCGTTATTCCATAAATATAAGGCGCGCTGAGAGACCTGAAAGTGGCTGCTGCACACGGCCTGCGATATCCGTAGAAACAATGGTCGCATCACTGCCACAAATTGCTCCATCTGAATCATCTCAATGATCTCCTCGAGCTCGTTTAAAAACAGAATCTGTGGTGCCAATAGACATCACCAACACCAAAATCAAAATAAGTCGGTTGTAATCTAGCTGACATGTAGCAGGCTAAAAACGAGACCTCTTTGGCACTTGCAGTCACAGGCCAGAACTTTAGCAGCCCCATGATAATAGGCTCCGATGTTTGCGGATCCTTTTCCACAAACTGCGTGGTGCAGTAAGCCAGTTGCTGGTGGAACATGGCTAGATTTCCTGCCTGTACGTGGGTTCATCAAGACGTCAAAACAGCAAATAAGCCTCTTTCCAAAGCTCACATAGTCGTGTACATCAACAAATAATTCACACGCACCGTATGAAGGGGAATCAGTGCTCGTTCGAGAAAATTCTGGTGCTCGGGCTTCAGCGGTAGAGCAAACCCATTTATGATACTGAACTCACACAACCGTACACATTGAGATCACGCTCAGCACAATAGCACATTACAAACCGAGCGTTGTTTGATTTATCACCCACTCATTACACGTACCTTCCTAGAATTTCCAGTAGCTCGCCCACACCCTGTAGCGATTCCGTCTCGTAAACGAAAGTGTAGAACATGTCATTGATCGAGCGGCGGATGAACGAGCGCAAAGCCATTGACTTGCCGTAAATACGGTGCAGAATTGTCTAGATAAAACCAGGTACACGCAATTTCACACATGTACGTATGTCCATGTCCTTCCTAGATGCACCAGTAGTAACCGTCACGCACCTTTAGGTAATCTCTTTCTCTAGGATCTTCTGAATCAAATAGATTCAGCAATTTAATCATAAACTTCTTACTAAAATATTCCTTGGCCGTTCTAGAGTCCACCTCCTTTGACAATACGAAACGTAATAAAATCTCGTATATTAACTGCATATGTGGCCACGATGGCTCTAACATCGGCTCGTCATCTTCTGGTACAGCTACCAATCGTACAAACACAATTCATATGTATAAAATTAGCAGCAAAAAAGATCAAGTGACGGAGATATAGTTGCAACAGATTGGACAACCTTCCACATTGCCATTGGCATTGATCATCGCAGAGTTGGAGCTACGACCCAAGTGACGAAAGATATTACTACCCACACACTCAAGCAGATCAGCCACTAAGGAGGGGTCCCATGCCACTTTTCCCGCCGAAATATACTCGACAATTTGCAACAATGCGTTGCGCTTGGCCTCTTTCTCGCGCACCTGCTTGCGCATGTCCGTGAAGTCATACAGTGCACAACAAAGCTTGACCTTCTGGCGAAAAAGACGCATACGCTCGCTTGGGGGAACATCCTCTAGCGATGGTAGCTCTCCCAGCTTTATCGACCCGTTAGACGTCATGACCACAGCGCAGAATCGGCTCGCGTCGAGACTACACCGGCTTTAGATTGGTCAAGAGAACTTGAGGTCACCTTCTGTTTGATTCAAAGTTACCTTCGTACGACATGACATTGATGTGGTACCACATGGCCCATTGTCAAAAAGGATTAATCGAAAAAATAGGATGCAGGTCGTCCTGACTGTTTACCAAAAGTAATGGAAGACTGTCTCAGATAGTAGGACCGTTTCACTCCACCATTGCTTAATAGGTTGCTGGTGGTTAATTTTTTAATCGCTGCTGTTACGATAACTAGTTGACGACGGATTCTCTTCTGTTTGTGTCACATGGATCATCATGACACGAAGCCGCTGGGAAGTCGAGTTAAAGCTGCACCACCTTTTTTTATTTGCGCAGCATAAGAACCTGAACGCAGTGTGTGGATTGCAACAAAACATACCTGTATCTCTCTACGTTTGCATGTTTCGTGTCAACATAGTCGATGTGTCTAGACTAATGTTGAATGGTCGCGTTGATACATTGCATGTAAGCAGCCGTCCACGATATGGACATTGTCCAAGCTGCTAGTTAAATAGGCATGCAAGACATGTGGTTGGCAATAGCTTTTTGCTTGCGTCATCGTCTGTTGATCATATCCTTTTCACTCGAAAAAAGTTACATGTGCACATATATTATAAGTTATGCCACACGACTCGACCACACGAATTGAGTCACCTTTTACAAAGAGCAGCAATATATGAAAAAACCGTGTATGTAGCGCAATGACCGTCATCACATTGTAGTTGACGACACTAATCGTGTCCTAAGCTTCCTTAGCCCAACCATTTTCGATAAGCCTGCACTCGCGTTTTTTTTATTCGGTTTAGCGTAAGCGCAGTACACTAGGGAATTGTCCATACTCATTAATTTTGACAGACTTTGTTTGGACAACAAGGGTGTAATTTTGGACGAAGTAAAGAAACAAGGCGTTTTTTGCTGTTTTTTACAATGCCTCCCGGTTGTTTACACATCCTATACTTTTATCATTACGTAAAAACTGATTTGTAAACGAAATTAAACTGGCAAGGGTTCATTTGTCCCATCACTAAAAACATTGCCACATTATTGCAAGAAGTTGAAAACCCCATTAGAGAGTAAACAAATTGTGTGTGTCAAGTAATGGATGATGACGTGTTGTATCCTGAAGAATACAGTGAGATGACGCTCGTGTCGGTAATGGAAGAACGTTTTCAGTTTAACCAGTGCTTTATGAACGATCTCCCGGTAGAGCAAGAGACGACAAGATGTACATACCGCCAAGTATATGTCGACCAACAGGACGAAGTTGTAAAGGATTCAAGAGAACTCGAGAATAAATCACTCTGCTATCTCAGTGATGAAAAAGGCAGTAACGACGACGACAGTGACGTGCTTATTGCCGCTTTTGGATTGGAGGACGATAACCAGAGGAAGAATCAGACTTGGGACCAGATTGAGTTACGAAGACAAAAGCTACCACACATCACGTCTCCATCTCTGAGACGTGGGTGTCACTGTAGTAAAGCGCGTTACGTCGTTTCTATTCATGAGGAAGCAAATGCTAGGAAACAGGAAATTGCTGATCCACACAATGCATCCAAAGAATACTTAGACATGCATATTCGCTATGCCGTGGTCGTGCGCGTAGCAAGGGTCGACACAATAGATGGAAAAGACATTTTTGTATTGAAGGTGTCGGATCCCGAAACAAAAATGCGGTGGGAAGCTAAAAAGACACTTAGAGAGATGATGCTGTTTTACTCGCATATTCAACAGATAAGTCTCGAGAAAGCACCGGTAAAGAAGGCGTTTTGGGGTACTCTTCGAGAACTAAGAAGGTCCAGCCTGCCGAAGAAACTTTTTGCTTCCCGAGGCTCATTGAACACGCAGAGAAGGGCCGCGTTTGACTCATTTTTAAGACAGACAGCGGCGTTGGTGTCACCTGCACCGCTGGGACCACGACGAAGGAAAGCACTGCTATTGCTGCAGGCATTTGTAGACGTGCATCGTCATTGCAATGTATCAAATCGTGATGCATGCACGTGCTTTTTTCCTCAAAGCAAAGTGAACGCGCCGCAACTTGTAGCGAAAATTTTTACCGCACCTGGGCATAGGGCATCGCGTGATTGCCATTCATTCGTGTTAGCGCTCACGCTGAAGAGCGTCGACGTTAAGCACACTTTCATGACGGAGCGGCGAGCACGAACGCTCTTGAATACAATTTTTAGAAAGATGAGGGATGTGAAGGATGCGATGCTGAAGGATGAGGTGTTGCTGAGTGAACTTGCAGTAGCACATTTGGAGCGCTCGGAGTCAGACTACGACGAGTTTCTAGACGAAGTGAAGCATGCAGTATGTGGGTTCGTACAGAAAAATGTGCTGGTGCCACTGGAGGATCATGTTTATGAGGCGCTGACCAGGCTTATGGACGAGAAGGACGAGAGTGCACTTAAAGAAAAGATCAAAGTGCTTCAAACAAAGCCTCAGTCTTTTTTTTGGAGTACCTCCGCATGTTATAGACCGCTCTGGCAGTGATTGGGAAAATGCTCGCCGCGAGCTACGCCGCGTGAACGAGTATACGCTACCTCTGGATAAGCTGAAGTGCTTGGCGCGCGCTGCGGGGGCCATTTTTCAATCATGTGGATCGTCTTGGTCATCATCATCTGTGGACACGACGAGCAGCTTTGCTTCGGTTGAAGAAGTGAACATGGTGTTGCGGCCTTCCATGACGACGGACGAGTTCATATCAGTGCACTTGTTTGTGCTGGTTATGAGCAATATGTCGCACCTGCTGATCACACGCGAATTCCTGCGGGTGACTTGCGACCCTCAAGATACCTCTGGTGAACTAGGCTACTACCTTACAACGTTTGAGGTGGCAGTGGACTTGCTCATTAATCATGCGGACCCTCAACAGCCAATGCTGCTGTGAGTCTAAGAATGGGGTTGTTGGTCCAAAAGAGGTTGTTCTTGCACTACGCAGTTTAGAAGGCTGTAACTTATTTGTCTTGAGCGTGCTCATATCTTTTCGTCTCGTCTCTTAAATAACATCAATACGATTTTTCCCTTGTAATTCTGCAAGTATCCGAAAGTTAATAACGTCTAACCTCTGCTCCTGGTGCGGTCAAGTAAACAAAATAATACCTACTGCAACACGCTACAGTACTTTCAATTTGTGTTATGGGCTTGAGCATATCTCTCATGCCCAACAACTTTTTTAAACTCACGCAACAGAAGGCGATGATAAAAACTCCAACAAATCGATCTTGGTGGCTCCAGTGACTTTGGAATCTGGAAACACAAACATGTTTAACGACGACAATAGGTGTCCATTGTTAGAGTGCCGAACAAGTGCGTTGACCATTCGTTGTGAGTGCGCTCGACCAAATTTCAAGACGTATAGACGTGTAAAACCAGGTGTATCGTTCGGTCAAACATGTCAGCATGTAGTTGTTTGCAGAAACAACGGTGTCTTAAGTCAATTTACTTCGTATGTCACCTATGCTTAGCATCGAAGCCTAATGCTACTGAAGGCAAAAAGACAATATTGGGTAGAGCATTCTTCAAGATTTACATTCAATTTTACTGGAAAGAAGGTTGTTTATCAATGAATACGCACAGCCAAGGAGATACCCACGCAAACGTCTGATCCGCTAAACCAACGTCAACTGGTGTCGATACTTAGAATAATCGTCACATCAACATCGGGTATATCATAGACATACTTAGGTGTATTCATAAGTTTTATTCCTTGCGCAGTATCACCGTTAAGTGAAATGCAAAAAAAAACATGCACTTGCACTACAAGAACTTTGCACGCGTTGGAGAGATTGCCATGATGCACTAACTCGTAGTGCTCAATGCAAAACTCGACCATCCACGGCAACTTCTTGTACCTGCAATTGTTTCTTGTTCTATTTAGTGTGGTGAATTATGTACTATGGATACATATGTGTATATATTAACAGAACCAGACAAATAGTGACTAGCACAAAGTATAGAGTAAGTGCTTCTATATTTAGTGCTAGAAGTTAAACATTTCAATAAATCAGTTTTAAAACCTGCTCTGAATACCATTTGTTGCTAGAGCCTTAGTCTTTCAAGTGAAAGGAAATTGTATCTATCACATTATTCTCATTGTGACGTGGTTGTTTACAACCAAAAGGCAGAAGCTTGTAAAGCTAGCCTTGCGAAGGTTAAGAGCCCTAAGACACACAGCTCTTGGAGATGGTCTTCGTCTGGACCTAGTGCAAAAGTAGCTTTGCTACAGTAGCTCTGCTACAATGTATATCATGATGAAAGTGAGCATGAGCGCCGAAAAACTTGTTTTCATACTTTCCAGTAGACCTACTGCTTGGTTTCTATTTGGTGAGAACTGCCGTTGAACACATGTCACTAAAGCTTAGAGGGGTTAGAAGTGTCATCAAGATGCGTTTTCTATACGTATATAAATGGATCACATGAAGCGACAAAGGATTGGCTGTTATAATATAGGGAATAATGTAAACTTCACGCTTCGTTCTATCCACTTTTGGTCCAAATGAACTCTACCAGATTCAGTACGAGGTGTTGACTGCACGATCTACTTTCCCACGTCTGGCAAAGAAAAAACTATCTCCTTGGGCTGTTAGCTGAGCAAGTTCTTTGAACTTACTAGGTTTAGCAGTTAAGATTAGTTTCACACACGATGCATCATCGAGCGGGGTTCATATCGTTAGCCGGTCAAAGAGGTTAGTAGATAGGCCAGTCAGTATCAGTCTAGATAGGCTGTACTAAATAACGTCATCATCGTATGTCTTGCTGGTGCGGCGAGAACACCGTATTTAATAAGCAGATAGTTTTCATTGACACTAAGTTTCACCTTCACCGTACACTGTGTACATGCAACGGTATGCACGGCTTGCATTTAATACAACGCTACGGGGAATGTATTTCCATATATTGAACAAATTATTCCGTTGTGAATGTTTCGGTAAGAAAAGTCGTTTTTTCATGTTTTCAAGACGAAACACGAGATTTAGCTGATACAACATTATGGTACACACCGGTTGCCACATCAATCAAATACTTATGAGAACATCTTGACGCGTACAAAGCTCTTGCTTAGTTTCCCTCGGCTTAAGAAGCTCTTCTAGGCAAGCGTCAGCCAACAATCAACAAATTTGTCATACATGACAAAGCAAAGGTTTGCCTGGTGATTCTTCGACCGTCAAAGACGTCTCGAGCAACTGCCTTTGATGATTAGTACACGAAGCCGGACTACTGAACGTGGTGTCGAATGATGGACAATTTGAAATAAAAAACGCAAAAAGGAGATGGATGATAAGGATTGGCGCGCTTGAAGATTTAACCGCGCCTATCCTTATCTTCTCCTGTAACGGGATTACACAAAGGTTTCTGTAACGGAGTTATACAAAGGTGTGTATTGTACATACACACCTGCTACACCCTTTTGGTGTGGTTGTACCTTGGGTACAGTGGTAGGTTGATGTGACCGTACCTAAGGTACGAAGGGTTGCATCGTGGACAGAGATCTTCGTGGTCACTATACTTCGTTAAGTATAGTGACTATACATGTTTACATATTAATAGGCTACAGAGCTAGTAAATAGCGACTAGCACTAAGTATAGAGTAGGTGCTTCTATATTTAGTGTTAGAAGTTAAACGTTTAAATAAATCAGGTTGAAACCTGCTCTGAATACCATACGTGCTAAAGCTTAGTCTTTGAAAGAAAAGAAGTTGTATCTATGACACTATTCTCTTGTGACGTGGTTGTTTACAACCAAAAGGCAGAAGCTGGTGAAGCTAGCCTTGCGAAGGTTAAGAGCCCTAAGACACACAGCTCTTGGAGATGGTCTTCGTCTGGACCTAGTGCAAAAGTAGCTTTGCTACAGTAGCTCTGCTACAATGTATATCATGATGAAAGTGAGCATGAGCGCCGAAAAACTTGTTTTCATACTTTCCAGTAGACCTACTGCTTGGTTTCTATTTGGTGAGAACTGCCGTTGAACACATGTCACTAAAGCTTAGAGGGGTTAGAAGTGTCATCAAGATGCGTTTTCTATACGTATATAAATGGATCACATGAAGCGGGAAAGGATTGGCTGTTATAATATAGGGAATAATGTAAACTTCACGCTTCGTTCTATCCACTTTTGGTCCAAATGAACTCTACCAGATTCAGTACGAGGTGTTGACTGCACGATCTACTTTCCCACGTCTGGCAAAGAAAAAACTATCTCCTTGGGCTGTTAGCTGAGCAAGTTCTTTGAACTTACTAGGTTTAGCAGTTAAGATTAGTTTCACACACGATGCATCATCGAGCGGGGTTCATATCGTTAGCCGGTCAAAGAGGTTAGTAGATAGGCCAGTCAGTATCAGTCTAGATAGGCTGTACTAAATAACGTCATCATCGTATGTCTTGCTGGTGCGGCGAGAACACCGTATTTAATAAGCAGATAGTTTTCATTGACACTAAGTTTCACCTTCACCGTACACTGTGTACATGCAACGGTATGCACGGCTTGCATTTAATACAACGCTACGGGGAATGTATTTCCATATATTGAACAAATTATTCCGTTGTGAATGTTTCGGTAAGAAAAGTCGTTTTTTCATGTTTTCAAGACGAAACACGAGATTTAGCTGATACAACATTATGGTACACACCGGTTGCCACATCAATCAAATACTTATGAGAACATCTTGACGCGTACAAAGCTCTTGCTTAGTTTCCCTCGGCTTAAGAAGCTCTTCTAGGCAAGCGTCAGCCAACAATCAACAAATTTGTCATACATGACAAAGCAAAGGTTTGCCTGGTGATTCTTCGACCGTCAAAGACGTCTCGAGCAACTGCCATTGATGATTAGTACACGAAGCCGGACTACTGAACGTGGTGTCGAATGATGGACAATTTGAAATAAAAAACGCAAAAAGGAGATGGATGATAAGGATTGGCGCGCTTGAAGATTTAACCGCGCCTATCCTTATCTTCTCCTGTAACGGGATTACACAAAGGTTTCTGTAACGGAGTTATACAAAGGTGTGTATTGTACATACACACCTGCTACACCATTGTGGTGTGGTTGTGCCTTGGGTACAGTGGTAGGTTGATGTGACCGTACCTAAGGTACGAAGGGTTGCATCGTGGACAGAGATCTTCGTGGTCACTATACTTCGTTAAGTATAGTGACTATACATGTTTACATATTAATAGGCTACAGAGCTAGTAAATAGCGACTAGCACTAAGTATAGAGTAGGTGCTTCTATATTTAGTGTTAGAAGTTAAACATTTAAATAAATCAGGTTGAAACCTGCTCTGAATACCATACGTGCTAAAGCTTAGTCTTTGAAAGAAAAGAAGTTGTATCTATGACACTATTCTCTTGTGACGTGGTTGTTTACAACCAAAAGGCAGAAGCTGGTGAAGCTAGCCTTGCGAAGGTTAAGAGCCCTAAGACACACAGCTCTTGGAGATGGTCTTCGTCTGGACCTAGTGCAAAAGTAGCTTTGCTACAGTAGCTCTGCTACAATGTATATCATGATGAAAGTGAGCATGAGCGCCGAAAAACTTGTTTTCATACTTTCCAGTAGACCTACTGCTTGGTTTCTATTTGGTGAGAACTGCCGTTGAACACATGTCACTAAAGCTTAGAGGGGTTAGAAGTGTCATCAAGATGCGTTTTCTATACGTATATAAATGGATCACATGAAGCGGGAAAGGATTGGCTGTTATAATATAGGGAATAATGTAAACTTCACGCTTCGTTCTATCCACTTTTGGTCCAAATGAACTCTACCAGATTCAGTACGAGGTGTTGACTGCACGATCTACTTTCCCACGTCTGGCAAAGAAAAAACTATCTCCTTGGGCTGTTAGCTGAGCAAGTTCTTTGAACTTACTAGGTTTAGCAGTTAAGATTAGTTTCAC